AGTTATGGCAATATTTTAACCGATAACGGGATGGTTTAATTTAATAACTCTGGTTTGGTTTGACCGATTTTCATAACAAAAATAGTTTTTTAATGATCAGACCATGATTTAAAATTGTGGAAAGGGCATTTGATGAGAAAATGTGAGTTGAACTTTACAAATTAAAGGTAATTTTTCCCAAATTATGTGTTTCTGATTCAGCTATATCATTTGAAGATCATATATACCTTTGGTTGGCATTGTATTCATGAAAAACCATTACAAGGAAATAAAGGTTGGTACTTTGTATTTAGATCAGCAAAACATAAGATAATTTCAGCTCCATGCTTTACAAAGTATCAACAATACTAAATATGTCGAAGATACTGTTGAACTATCATACAAATTTGCGTTTATTGACATTCTAGCAGAAACAACAATTCAGCTGATGTCAGAAGGAGATATGTTTTGATAAGTGTCAGTATTGCACTGACATGCCGTGAAACCCTTAAAGCTGAGGGATAATAATATGACATCCTAATGGAAGGTTTACAATTGACATTATGGTGTTCCATTTTTTTCTGTTTACAATGTGAAATATTACGACTTTGGTTTTATTTATTTATTTTACACCGGCAATCATTGATACATTGTAAAAGATATGACACACTGATCAGAAAGGCGTTATGGTATCTTACCACCAAATATACACACAGTCATGTCATCATAACACAAGCAACATTACCTTCATATCAATTCGTATTTATTGTTCTTAATAGTCATAGTGTATTCCCAGTTGACATGTTAGTCAATGTCAACATTGTCAAGATCACGGGAACATGTTTCATGTCCACATCCACATGCCGAAGCACACAACAGGTTCAACCTCTTGCAGCTACTCCTTCCTGTACATTGGCGTTTACATGCACAGATATGTTGAAGAAGGTCCACGGAAACGATTTAGTCTTAACTTATTTGCAACCTTATCACAGAGGAACAGAGGAATATTTGATGAAGATCTATTACGACAAGAAGAAACGTACTGCTTTAAATACAAAACATTAAGTGCCTAGTTTTGTGGACAACTCAAAAAGAAATTCCTAGACAATATTCATATAAACATCTTGCTTCTACTGTAACGTTCATAAAAATATGCATACCTCGGTTTTAGTAATATGTAATGATATACACAAAAGAGTTACACATAGCATGGTCATGACACTATGAGCATCGATCTTCACAAGTGGGATACGATGGCATGCATCAAACAAGTAAGTGAGAACGACCACCCGATCACATTAGTTCGCTCTTACAACATGGGTTGCTGAAGATCAATTTTGACCCAATTAACATATTTGTGAACCTGCCAGAATGGTTAATGAATAAATGCATAGTCAGTCTCATGATATCTATTGCAGATCATTCCAAATGCTATTACTGACAACAGAATGTATGTCGCCGACATCTTTTCTGGTCTCTGCATAAGTCGTACCTCAGAGAGCCAATTCTCAAGCTGCATTAATCACTATCAGCTATTCCGTACACGCACAGAAGTTGGTATATACGTTGAAAGAAGCTTTAGAATTATATTTTGTGGGGAAAACCTTGAATCGACTATACATATTGACAGTAGTGAGTGACCTCGTCTAGATGGATACTAAAAGACCAACTGTAGTTCCTTTCCCGATTTCCATATGTCGCATGACTACGTTGTCCTTCAAGCAGAGAGTGAAAGAACTGACAATAGTTATCGTATCATGGAATTGGCTCACGTCAAACACTGTCTTCATCAGCTGACGCACGTCGACAATACAACGTCGGCTCTAACATATTGACAGACCTCACCCAGATGAACATTACCAAGTCGGCTGTAGTCAACTGCATTGTTCCAACAGCTGTGATCAGCAGAGTGTGTTTCAAATGTTTTCCCAGATCTATATATTTAGTTTCCGATTCCTAATATTACTAGGATTAAGGTTTTTAAATGCGTTTCTCTCCTTGTAAGTACCACATTCGCTCTGTATCGCTGGGACCTTAGACATGCCAGTAGTCTGTCTCATTCTCCAAACTTTCGGCGCAGCCTCTTCTGTAATGCAATAGTCCAAAATGAAGCCAGTCTAGTTCTGAGTCTCCGAACTCACTGGGGCTAATTCAGTATATACGGAGTTATATATTGCTATCAAAATATCCTATTTTCAGAGGCTTCCGCTAGGTATAACGTGCCAGGATCCTGTAATTATGGACCCAAACATGCTCCGGGTATGCTTATTGTGTTTTCAAGACCATATCTATGTTTCTGAATTTCTCCCACATTAAACAAACTGTTGTTAGATCCAACATTCAACTTGCACGCTGTGTAGCCTTTTTATGGCATTGGGTTTTGTGCGTGCGTTTGTTTATTATTTTCTTTGTTGCATTTGTATGGGCTTGGGCTATTCAAGATGAAATCCACCCAAGCAGGATTAATTGATTATATTTATTCATGGGTAAATTTTCATAATGTTTGCACTGTAAACTGATCAACATGTGGATGCTTGATGGGCATTTAGAAGTTGGAAGGTAACATAACAACGTATGGTATAGAATTACAACTTCTTTATTATTTACAACACAACGTTTCTAGGCTGCTTCTTAGTAGCCTAGAAAACGTTGTGTATTTATAATAATGAATATTTGCTTGATATTGTATGGAATATGGAAAGGTTAATCCAAGTACATTATATGTACAATTGCTTGTGCGATCTATTAATCAGGATGATTATTTTCTTCAATTATCCATGGGGTAGTGGAGATAGAGGAAAGATGGGAGGTATATGTTCAAGGCGTAAATGCGTTGATACGTCCAGACATCCAGATAACCTGCAGCCTTGCTTGAAATACTAAATCAATACATTTGAAAACAAGCTTACCTAAACGAACTTTGAAAAGTAAAACAACACTGTGTGAAAGTACCTGTGAGTAATGCAGCTTTAAGCAGGTTTCGATCACAAGTATTTTTTACAGATGTTTTGTTTGATTGAATGCATGAATCATGAATCAAGAACAGCGTTGTATAATGCATGGATGCGAAACATGTTGCAAACTGTAATGTTGTCAGTGAACTCCCAATAAACCAGGAGAGAGTAAAAACATATCGCATAGCCTAAACAACTATCAAACCTCAATGTGAATAACACAATGTGAACCCAGATTTTCTGTGACCATTTTGTTTTAGTACTGGTAACATGAGCATATATAATGTGTTCAAATACATACCCTTGATATCCGGAATGATGCACAAGGTTTTAAGCCATGAAAACATTTGAAAACTTGCAAATTTACAAATGTTTTCCCACCTAAGGAAATATTCATATTTCGAACCCAAGTAAACTTAGAAAAGAGTCGGAAATTACATCACCTATATTACAATCAAAAGGAATGCATTGGGAATACTGTGTATTTCAGGGGTATATGACGGGTGTGTGCATTTGGTGGTAAGATACCATAACGCCTTTCTGATCAGTGTGTGATATCTTTTGATGGTGTAAAATAAATAAATAAAACCAAAGTCGTAATATTTCACATTGTAAACAGAAACAATTGAACACCATAATGTCACTTGTAAACCTTTCATTAGGATGTCATACTTTCATCGATCAACTGTAAGGGTTTCACGGCATGTCATTGCAGCTGTAGCGTGAAGTGATACATACATAAAATAATTTTGACACTTATCAAAACATATCTCCTTCTGACATCAGTTGAATTGTTGAGTTTCATGCATGCAGTGCCAACCAAAGATATGCATGATCTTCAAATGATATAGCTGAATTATAAAAACATAATTTTGGTAAAATTACCTTAAATTTGTAAAATTGATAAAGTTGCAAATAAGTTAACACTAAATGGTTTCCGTGGACCTTCTTCAACTTCATAACTGTGCATGTAAAAGTCAATGTACAGGAAGGTGTCAAAGAGGTTGAACCTGTTGTGTACTTCGGCATGTGGATGTGGACTTGAAACATGTTCCCGTGATCTTGACATTGTTGACATTGGCTACCATGTCAACTAGGAATACACTATGACTATTAGGAACAATAGAAACGAATTGATATGAAGGAAATGTTGCTTGAGTTATGATGACATGGCTGACTCGTCATTCTTTGATGAGCAAAGAAAGACATCTGGAATAATAGAATTTGACATTTAAGAGCTTTCTGTTATGTTTTCTGATTTTAGAGATAGTCCGACAGTATCATCGACATTTTTGGTATCGTTGACTATGTAAAGCATGGAGCTGTTACTGTTGAACAGACATTATATAATATTTTGCTGATCTAGATACAAAGTACCAACTTTTGTTTCCTTGTAATGGTATTTTCATGCATACAGTGCAAACCAAAGGTATATATGATCTTCAAATGATATAGCTGAATTAGAAAAACATAATTTTGGAAACAATTACCTTTAATTTGTAAAGTTCAACTCATATTTTCTCATCAAATGCCCTTTTTGTATTTAAATTGACCTTTGACCTTACCAAAATATTTTTTGCGATGAACATATATGTAATATTATTGTCCACAATTTTCAATCATGATCTGAATATTCCAGAACTACTATTTTGATGAAAATCGGTCACTCCAAAACCAAGTTATTAAATTAAACCACCCAGTTATCGGTCAAAATATTGCCAAAACTGACATGACATGTTGCACCTTAAAAGGGCCTCTGTACGGTAGTTACTCATGGTAGCTGATGACAACAGGCTTTAAATCAAAGCTAAATCATTCCTGATTGTGAAAAATCACATCCCGTTTGGTCGCCAAAACTGCACCACATTTTCACCATTTGGGGGGTTTGGCTTCTAGACCATATTGCTGAGTGCGGCGTGAAGCTCACTCACTCCTGTACACTAACCTATACTTCTCAATACAATACAAACGATTCTATACAATATACAAAACACTACACTCACTTGAGCAACACACGAGACCTCCAGGCACTAGCAATCTTGATGAACCAGATTTGTTACTGTGCAGATTCCATACAGCAAAGTTGAGCGCCGTCTTGGAGACCTTGCCTCATTTTACGCTGATGCCTCCCTCGCCAAGGCAGAACTGTCGTGGACAGCACAGAAAAACCTGGATGAGATGTGTAAGTACCCAGTGGATGTATACAGACAGACCATGTGTCTATTATGTTATGTAGATGTCTTGGACTTAAGTCTGTTGCCCTCATATGAATTCTCTCATACCCACTACAAAAAGGTCTAGATTTACAAACTTTTAAATGTCTTGTTAAGATGAGACTTTTAAGACATTTATACCTTTGTAAATATGACATTTACAAGACATTTAAAATTTTGTAAATATGAGTTTTACACATTTGTTTTTCTTTGTACTTACTGGCAAAGGGAGATAAATGGTATGTAATGATACATGTATATGGTTTTGCCTGAGCATGTAACATTAATGTCGTAATACATTTTAGACGGAAGACACGCTCTACATACAAAATAAGCTATTTAAATAGTATTTATATTTTAAAAAACGTTTTCTATTCATAGCAGTTATATAAAGATATAAGCTCCGTGACATTTATTTTCCGCACACATATGTAAACACAAATTAAATCAAAAGTGCAGGTTCAGGAGTATACATACAATGTCACAGAATTTAGAATACATCAAGGTGGCAGTTTCCAGGAAAAGATTGAGTATTTCTATATAACTCAAAGAGAAACGCAATAAATCTTGATAAACTTTATGAATTTTAGATCTTTACTAATAACAGTTTACTAATGTCATGGAAATAGGAGAACTTAGCCCCAGTCAACTTGTGAAACTTTATGTATTTAACATCCGCAAATACATGTAGATACAAAGATTGGTCATTCACAAACTGAAAAAGATCTCACTTCTTTCCTTTTATGGTGAGTGAGTGAGGTTAGTTTTACGCCGCACTCAGCAACATTCCAACTATATGGCGGCGGTCTGTAAATAATCGAGTCTGGACAAGACAATCCAGGGATCAACATCATGAACATCGCCTTTTATGGGACGCACTAACAAGTGTATGGGGATACATGACGAAGCACAAGACTTCTGGGTGATGAGGATAAGTTTGAGATTTTACGTGCGATTTCCAACATGATGCTTTTAAAATTCGCATACGGGTGGCTTTATGGATAACAACTTCCTGTTTAGGGGATATTGAAACGTTTCGATGTACATCGTTAAGGATAAACAAGCTGATTGGATGATGACTATATAGTTGATTGTGAAAGTCCTATCGCTTGGACGATTGAGTGGATTTCGACTTTGTCATAGTTGATCTAGATTGACTGCTGATTGACTGTTGTCTGCCTGTCCTCACCCAATTATGTGATACTTGGCAAGTTGCTATCAATTACCTGTTGTGGTTATTTTTAATTGTCACTGCGTTATATCACCTGGTTGTAGCAGACTATAGTAACGTTCAACAAGGAAACGCCCTTCTATGCAATAAACAAGACATTGTTGTGGATAAAGTCAAAACATGTTCAAAACTGTCGAGGTACATTCGAAGTGGAAAAACATCGAACAGCACTTGAAGTGCATTCTAACTGCATTGTAAGTATTCTGAAAGGATTCGAGGGAGAATCGAAAAGGTGAGCCACTTCAAATCCTGCAAGAATGTCGCCTCGAATGTACTTTGATTGCTGGTTGAATTTAGGTGGAATATTCTTCAAACGTATCGGAATATTTCGATTGCACTTGGAATACAGCTCGAATGTACATCGAATACACCTACAATACAGTCAGAACGTCCCGAATGCTCTTCAAATGAGCCCTGACGTCATCGGAACACCCCCGAATCGCATAAAAACGTAGCCACCTGTCACTGAAACTTCAGATATCATTCACATCTTCAAGCTGCGCAAGTTGTCTCCAGCCTCCTGGCACCACATTGCTCATCTTTCTCATCCACCATACCACTGTGGAAATGAGGATAACGTGTCCTCATCAAGATGTGCAGGCAGACACAGCATTCAATGATGTCCTTCACAACGGAAGGCCTTGACAGCGTGGTGGTGAGGAGGATTTGCCAACTCTAGGTCATAATTCAAAAAGCATTTTCTACTACCCGTCGGCCCCTGCTGACCCTGCAGTTGTAGATTCTCTCGTCTCTCTGTACAGTCATATGACCGTACGGTTTCATCAAGAGGGCCCTTATTCCAAAGGCATCATCTCCCAGAAGAAAGCATGGCAGACGATCGTCATCTTGGGGTAAGGGGAGCGGATCAGGAAACCATATGCTCCCGTCTTCAAGGCAATCCTTGAGCTCGCACTCGTTGAAGATCTGAGCATCAGACATACTTTCGTAAGCACCAACGTCCCCCCACAGGAACTTGTATATTTCCATCCACAAGGGCCATGAGGACCACAGAGAAAAAGCCCTTGTAGTTGTGGTACAATGAGCTGCTCTTGGCAGGTTTCCTTATGGCCACATGTTTGCCATCTAAAGCTCCTACGGCATGAGGAATATTTCACCTGTTTCTGAATACCTATTCAATGGGTGCCCATTCTTCTGGAGTGGTAGGGCAGATGATAACCTCATCCTTGTATTCCTCCACAATGACCTTACATACTTCTGGAATGGTGAGGCTGATTGTGTTCCTTGCCACGCGGAAGCTGTACATGATGCTGAAGCCAGGAACCTCAGTGTCATGGCCAGCTTCAAGCCTGGAGGTAGCGCCTTTCTCATATATGTATCCTGCTTGTGTATTCTTGGTCCCACTTTCTGCACCAACTCATCAAACATTGCAGGCTCCACCCTAAGGTAGTTGAAGAATGACTGCGTGTCCTCAACTCTGACCTTCGCCAGCAGTTTTGTGTTATGTCGATACAACCACCTCCTTTCCTCTGTCAGCCATGGTCTGGTCTGGAATCCTCTGGGTCTTCTCCTGGTCTCCTCCACATCACTTTCAATCTGGGCTTGCTGGAGCACAGTAATCTGGAGCAACGCAACATGGTCCCGCTGGTCCAGTTGGGCAGTGACTGATGAATAGTCCAGATTCAACAGTTTTTTATACCCCATAGTGGAACATTCCGGCAGCATTCTTGATGAATTTCGACCATTCGTGTTACATTCTAAGCGCATTTGAAGGACATTTGAAATATTCGAGCTGCATACTGTTTTAATTCTTTAACATTCGATCCATATTCGGGGGTCATTCCAAGAGGGTTCTGAATGCATTCTATGTAAATTCGAACAGCATTCGAGGTACGTTCCAACTGAAATTCGAGTGCTATTCACGCAGCAATTGAACCGGCCTCGTACGGCAGTCAAATTCATTTTGAGTATTCTTAGTGTGTTCTAACGGCATTCTAATTGTTCCTACTGTATTCCGATTCCTTCGAGGTGCATTCGTGCTCTAGTACATTTGGAATGAATAAGAATCATTCGAGGCGGGTTCTAAGTATTCCAACAGCATTCTTACAAAGCTTGAAAAAAATGTTTATTTTGACATTCTCTCCCGAATGCGGTTTGAATTTTGGAAATATTTTCTTTCTGGCTGATTCTCCTTGATTCCTGTCAATTCGAAATAAGTGTGAAGGACCCTGCATTGGGCTACGATAGGCGGTCATGTTCTCAAAGCAGGTGTTAACATTTTCTATACATACACGAGTTGTCTACATGAGAGAACGTCGCCCTCGTGGTTTGGCAGACTGTCAGTTTTACTTGAAGTCATCTCGGATCTAGCTCTATCATGGATGTAACTGTAGTGACAGTTACGTATTTTACATCAATAAATGAGAAGAAAAACACGCAGCCCTCGCTTTCCCCATTCAAGGCCCACAGTGCACATACACTGGTGACAGTGTTCACAATGCAGATCAGAACATACATATCATAATATATGTTATGTAAGTGATAATATTTCCTGGGCATTAGAGATCACATTGGTTTAATTAATCGGAATTTAATGTTTTTCCTAAACTAAAATTTAATGTTTTTTGTAAACAAGATTCTTTCAAATGTATTTTCCCTGGAATCATCTGTGCTCTGATATCTCTAATTCTATTTAACATGATCTAAAATGAATAATGTATTAACCTTTACTCTGCTGAATTAATAAGGAACAGTAAAGAGGGCGGGTCAAACAGTTGGCGCATCATTAGGCAAGGAACAATTTAAGCAATAGATAGAAAAATACACGTTATTACCCAGAAATATCCTGCCATTTTTCACCCGTGAAGATCCGGGTTAGAATTGACCTTCAGCTACCCATGCTTGTCGTAAGAGGCGACTAACGGGATCGGGTGGTCAGACTCGCTGGCTCAGATTTGATTATAAATGTTTACAGACCGCCACCATATAGCTGGAATATTGCTGAGTGTGGCGTAAAACTAAACTCACTCACTCACTTTATCTAGTACATGTACTGCAGTAAACTCATCACACACCCTGATATTGTCAAACATACGGAAGTTAAGGCCAAAGCAAACATAAATAATGTACATGTTGCTAACCGATCTTAATAATCACATCTCCCGTGTATCATTTTAACTGAGTTTAAATTCGTATATTTGTTTTGGCAAATAACAGCGCGACCGCAATTCAAAAAACATTTCTAAAATATAATGTAGGAAAAAATGATCGTATGTTCGATGTCATCACATCTCACGTTCTAATGACTCCATTAGGTTTAGTCCAACGGGTCATGTCACGGAATAAGCAGAATATCAAAAATTATTTATGAAAATTCCCAATTATAAGTGTTATGGTACATTTTTCTGACACTGAACCACACAAATCCCGCGTCGTATTCCTTTTCACGCAAGATAAACAAACATGACGCGCTTCACCCAACCTCCTTCTAAATGATTGCAAATATCTACAAAGTTTACACCACTTTCATGTATAAACTTTGGCAAAAGATGAGGAACTTATCACTCGATGAGTGTTTCGTTTATCATTTTCAGTTTAATATGAGGAATGAGAAACGAAAATTAAGATCGCAAAATCTAACATTTTTTCAGTAATCGCAAAAGCCAATGGGTGTGATGTCACAACAGAGAGGGGCTGCTGTAGTCTGTCTCACAGACCGTGAACCACATTATTTTCACTACTGCCTCGCCCTCCCTGCAATGTAGTCTGTCTCACAGACCGTGAACCACATTATTTTCCCTACTGCCTCACCCTCCCTGCAATGTAGTCTGTCTCACAGACCGTGAACCACATTATTTTCCCTACTGCCTCACCCTCCCTGCAATGTAGTCTGTCTCACAGACCGTGAACCACATTATTTTCCCTACTGCCTCACCCTCCCTGCAATGTAGTCTGTCTCACAGACCGTGAACCACATTATTTTCCCTACTGCCTCACCCTCCCTGCAATGTAGTCTGTCTCACAGACCGTGAACCACATTATTTTCACTACTGCCTCGCCCTCCCTGCAATACTAAAGTCCTAAATGAAGCAAGTCCAGATTTCCTCAGGTTCTGAATCTCCCATCTCACACGAGAGCCTTTTTAATTTAAATCGGATTGTTTGTTACTATCAAATTATATATTTTCAGAGACTAAGCGTTAGTCTAATTAGATGTGGGCGATTCCGCACGTGATTCCGGTTTCATCAATGATGGATACAAATTACAAACATCGTGATTATTTTTATCACCTGCATTCCTTAGCCATCGAAACGTGTTGTCAGGATTCTGCTTATATGAGTTCATAACGCAAATATTAGACGTTTTTTTCACTAAAAATACCGCGAGTTAAGACACGCCCACACAACTGTGTCTGAAGGTTTATCAAACGAGACCATTTCCAAACTCGATTAATATGAGAACATATTTTAAAAGACGTTTAAATTCATCTAATCAATTCAAGCAAATTACGTTAGATATATCAAAACAATCAGAATATATTTGGGATCACTATGCATGTGGAGTTGCCATACTGGTTCCTGTACTGTGAGAGGATAGTGATTCCATAATAGATGATTAGATGATGGGAACTGTTTTTGTAAGATGGTAGTAATTTTTTTTATACATGATGGTTGTAATCGTATAAGCATTATATCCCATTGGAAATCCTGATAACCTTTGGATATGTGATGATGGTAAATCTGTTAACACATGATGGTTGTCATGGTAAAAGGACCTTATCTATTTTAAATCCTGGGAACTGTTGTATATGAGATGATAGTAACTCTGTTAATACATGATGGTTGTCATGGTAAAATGACCTTATCCCATTGGGAAATCGTAGGTACTGTTTTATATGAGATGATATTAACTCTGTTAATACATGATGGTTGTCATGGTAAAAGGACCTTATCTCATAGGAAATCCTGGGAACTGTTGTTTATGAGATGATAGTAACTCTGTTAATACATGATGGTTGTCAGGGTAAAAGGACCTTATCCCATTGGGAAATCCTAGGAATTGTTGTTTATGAGATGATACTGAATCTGTTAATACATGATGGTTGTCATGGTACCATGACCTTATCCCACTGTGAAATCCTGGGAACTGTTGTTTATGAGATGATAGTAACTCTGTTAATACATGATGGTTGTCAGGGTAAAAGGACCTTATCCCATTGGAAAATCCTAGGAGCTGTTGTTTATGAGATAATAGTAACTCTGTTAATACATGATGGTTGTCATAGTAAACGGACCTTATCCCATGGGAAATCCTAGGAACTGTTGTATATCAGATGATAGTAACTCTGTTAATACATGATGGTTGTAATGGTAAAGGACCTTATCCCATTGGGAAATCCTGGGAACTGTTGTATATGAGATAATAGTAACTCTGTTAATACATGATGGTTGTAATGGTAAAAGGACCTTATCTCATTGGAAATCCTAGGAACTGTTGTTTATGAGATGATATTGAATCTGTTAATACATGATGGTTGTCATGGTAAAAGGACCTTATCCCACTGTGAAATCCTGGGAATTGTTGGTTATGAGATTATATTAAATCTGTTAATACATGATGGCTGTGATGATTTTTTGCAGGTCAGGATCTGTGGAGATGGCAGTCTACCAATCCTAATGGCTTCCAACAAGCTGATGGCAAATAATGGCAACTAATGGCAGGCATTAAATATATTACAAATACAGTGTAGTCACATAGTTCTGAGCAGTATAGTTGAGTTCATGTCTTAGATATAGTAAGACACTGTATAACAAAAATATAGAACATGTTTACTGGTAGCTTCCATTTGTTTTTATTTATTATCATTGCCCAGTCTGTTTCAATGCTACTGCATTCTTGTTAGTTTAGGTCCTGTCTTAAATATAGTTAGGGTTAGGGTTAGAGTTTAGGGTTAGGTTTAGGGTAATAGTTTAGGGTTAGAGGTTAGAGTTTAGGGTTAGAGTTTAGGGTTAGGGTTTAGGGTTGGGGTTACCTTAAGTATTCCGACTACATCCAATACTACTGCATTCTTGTTAGTTTAGTTCCTGTCTTAAATATAGTAAGGCTTTGTGTAACAAAAATAAAGAACATATTTACCGGTATCTTCCATTTGTCTTTTACTCTGTATGTATTGATAAATATCTCAACAAGTAACAAAACCGGCGAGAATGCACCTTACCGGGCACAGCCCACTTGCTGGAGCAATTATCACGCAATAGCAATACTGCTGCTAGTCTACGATCCTTAGGGTTAGGGTTAGAGTTTAGGGTTTGAAATGGTTTGACATACGTTTCGTCCCACCAGGACTCGTCAGTGCAGCTTGGTTTCCCGAAAGGAAACTGCAGACGTGTTTCAGTTGTTGTCTTATCTTGGCTTGGCCGAAACACAAAAATCACTACAGAACTGTACAGTAATGTTCAGTCCAGCACTGATACACAAAGTTTCATCCGAAAATAGTCTTCACTTCCTTTACAGCCCACTCAGACACAACACACCCACAGTTACAGGAGTAAATGAGTGAGTGAGTATGGTTTTATTCCTCTTTCAGCAATATTCCAGCAATATCACGGCAGGGACATCAGAAATAGGCTTCACACGCTGTACCCAAGTGGGGAATCGAACCTGGGAATTCGGCATGACAAGAAAACGCTTTAACCATTAGGCTATCCCACCGCCCCACAGTTCCAGCAGAAACAGAATCTGGAGAAGCAAAATACAGAGTACATTATCATCTAAATATTCATGAGTGAGTGACTCAAGTTTTACACCACTTTTAGCAATATTTGAGCAATACCCTGGACGGGGACACTACATATTGTACCCACGAGGGAAGACAAACAGGTGAGGGCTTTAACCACAAAGGCACAGTCGTGATGTAAGTTGTACACAACAAAACCAAACCCCAAGTTGTCAATCATGTGAACATGTAGATGTTTCTAGGAGATTTTTAACAGACAATACAGATATGAAACAAAAAAATCATGTTGTAACTTGCTGTGTTGCTAGTTCCAGTATACATACACATTGCTCATTAGATGACATACAGCTAGTGCAATCAGGTAGTAAAATCAATACTACCCTATATGGCTATATGGCGTCGGTTTCTAAATAATTGATTCTGGACAAGACAATCCAGTGACTAACAGCATGAGCATCGATCTACTCAACTAGGATACGATGACCTGTGTCAACCAAGTCAGCGAGCCTGACCACCTGATCCCGTTACTCGTCTCTTACGACAAGCCTGCGTTACTGAAGATCAATCCTAACCCGGACCTTTCTTGGGTAAAATCCCCAGGACCCAGTGTTTGTCTCTTAACAACAAGCCAAACTTAGTAGTCACACGTTCATGTTACTGACCACTGTTTTGCCTGTCCATGCCAGGCTGTCTTTACACTGCTTGATTAACCCTGATATGATTCATTGCTTGTTCAAATAATGTTATGGATTACCTCCCCTTGACCACACCATTCACCATCCTGCTAATATGTTCAGGTTATTTGTCTCATGAAATATGAATGAGGGAGCATGCATTAAACACTGCTTTAAGCAATATTCCATCAATACCGCAGAAGGGGATACCAGAAATGGGCATCACACATGGTACCCATGTGGGGAATCGAACCCAGGTCTTCAGCATGACGAGCGGACTTTAATGGTACTCCACTGCCCTGAAATAGGAATGATATTTGCATGGTTGAAAGACGAAGAATTCACTACAATCAAACATTCTAAATATTATGAGTAACCTAATCAGATGGAAATTATATGATTAAAGTTGAACTTCGTATCTGAAACAAGCTGTACAACTGTTCATGCCCATGTGACTATACCTACTTTCTTCTTTGCTGGGCCGCCATATACCTGGAATATTGCTGAGTGTTGTGTAAAACTCACACTTCTTTGCTGGAGAATAAATATATTATGAATTACCTCCCCTTGACCACAATACTGATAATCCTGCTGTTTTATTCAGGTGTTTTATCTGATGAAATATGAATAACAACTCACTGTTTTGAAACATAGTGAAGACATTGAAAGAGACTTCCGCCCGTATCCCCCCTTAAATTTCATTCTAGTCAAATCATATAACCTGAATATATATTCCTCATCTGATAAGAAAGAGTCTTAACATGTTTCTTTAATTGTATCCAGGGCACTAAATCAATTTATTCCACTCAAAACAGCCCTATCTTTACTCTCATTACCTTTAAATCTGCCTCTACATTAGAGCTGTGTATCGTGGCCTAAGTGGCGAGACGATATATCTCGATACCAGTTTAAGGAGGAAAGACGATATATCATGAAAGTATTGGCAAGGAACCCGCGAGACGATTATCATCACGATACAATGGTGGCGATACGATACATATCCCGATACTTTACAATTTCTTAAAACAGAACAGATATGATAGATAAAATTACCGAAACTTTATGTTATACTGCAGAACGCGTGTTACATTAAAAAGCTGTTGATCTAACAAATCTTTCAGTATGTAATGCTTAAGAAAGTACAGTCAAACATATTCTGTATACCTTGATCCGATACAAGTAAATCTGAAACTGAAGTTTCCCTTTGGAAGTTGTATTTCTACACCAATGCTTTCACAAACAATTCCGTGTAATTTATATCAGAATTCAGAATCACTGAAACTAAATCAACAACTCTTACGTCTGCTTTCTAAATTGTATCTTATCTTATCTTTGTTCTCTTTCTTTACAAAGTGAAGTCATCACTCATTAGTTATTAATACATTGTGTTACTTGTCAAACAACTAAAACATATTTCAATTACTTGAAGACAAGTATTCTACCATGTCTACAGTTCACAGAGTTCGCACTCTTTCATTTATACACCAACTCATCTGTTCATGTAACAAAGATAACAGACACAAACAAATTTTTATTTCAGTTTTCTTAGTGAATTACATAAGTTGTATCATGATATATCGTCTCTTGTGGCGATACATCGATGTATCATGGACCCTCGCGATATAAATATATTGCCTGAATGTATTTTGTATTGATGCACTCGTATCGCTAGTTGACGATGCACACATCGATACTAACGATGAATCGTTACACTACTACTCTACATTAATGCTAACTTGTTTCCATGGTGAAATAAACACAGGAAAGCATTGTACAGTATGAATTACTGAAATGTGCTCGAACCCTAAAGGTTACACAACACAAAATGTTTTCCAATAGACTTCTATAGTAAGGTTATATTATTTTTTTATATCATCCAGGCTACCAACAGCCATTCCATGTGCACATGGGTACAGTCTGGCCTTTAAACTACAATAAATACACAAATTCCGGCTAACTTATCCTGCTAATTTTCCAAGCACAGGAAGCTGAACACATTAACCCCAGTTCCGCACCAAATGTCACCTACTGGAAAATATCTGTACACACACAAGCATAAGTCATGGTGATAAAAATGACAGCACTAAATACTTGAAATTGTGGTCAGTTTTAATTACTGGATTGATGTGCTTTTAAAAAACATAAAAACCTTAAACTATTTCATCCAATCACAGCTGTCACATGTGTCTATCTCTCCAGATGTTTACATACGGTACTCACTCAGGGAGAATGTGATTCTGATTTAGTGCAGTGGATCCTCAAATAATGTTATGAATTACCTCCCCTTGACCACATCAATGACTATCCTGCTGTTATGTTTAGGTTATTTGTCTCAAGAAATATGAATGAGTGAGGATCGTTTAAACACCGCTTTAAGCAATATTCCATCAATACCGCAGCAGGGGATACCCATGTGACTGTACCTACTTTCTTCTTTCCTGGACTGCCATATACCTGGAATATTGCTGAGTGCAGTGTAAAACTCACTCACTTCTTTGCTGGGGAATAAATAAATTATGAATTACCTCCCCCTGACCATAACACTGATATTCTTGCTGGGTTTTTTAAGGTTTTTTTTATCTAATGAAATACAAATAACATCTGAAGGGTTAAATGATGGAGAATCCACAACAATCAAACATTCTACATATTATGAATTACCTCCCCTTGACCATAATACTGATAATCCTGCTGTTCTATTCAGATGTTTTATCTGATGAAATATGAAGAACAAATTACTGTTTTGAAACATAGTGAACAAATTAAAATTAACTATATAAAATATCTACAGTCTTTATGACCAAATGATGGCTATTTTCCCACTGCATTTCACCAGCACTCTGGTTACTTACTTTCCCAGTTCACAAGCCATGATGGGTTCCACCAGGCGCTCCTGGCTCAGAGCACAATGTTTCCATTTGGCCACCAAATCAGTTGTCTTGTCTTTCTATTTAACAGACAAAACATCATTACAGTAAATCTGGTTCAAGTTACACAACCAAATATGCCTGATGCAAATTTGTTAATTTAACTTTCTTCATTGCTGCCAAACTATAGACACAGTCATCATGGTAATGACAGCTATTTCTTTTAATATGTTTAATATGCTGTCTAACACTTATCATGACATGCAAAAGCATCATAAGGCAATTTGTGATTGTTATCGTTAACTATAACTCTCTTTAACATCAATTACTAATGACTATTGTGAATATGTGCAGAGCCTGCTTTATAGTATGGTATGATGGTAGGTTCTCAATACGCTGGCTGAAACCTCTAGTTTATATCTCAATTCAAAGTATTAGCACTAAAATTGGCTGGAAATATTTCTACTAACCTAACAATATATGTTTATCTTGAACAAGGGTGTGTATGATCAGGATAATTGCTCCGTCTCCCTTCACTGCCACTATACGATCCCTAGGGTTAGGGTTAGGTTTAGAGTTTTAGAACTTAGGGTTAGGTTTACCTCAAGTCAGAGTAATCTGATTACATCCACTTGGTTTTGAAACACGTTTCGTCCCACCAGGACTCGTCTGTGCAGCTTGGTTTCCCAAAAGGAAACTGCAGACGTGTTTCGGTTGTTGTCTTGGGTGTGTAGTATTGGCCAAAACACGTCAGAACGACGATCTAGTTGGGGCTAGTTCTTCGCCACAAATTGCTTCAACTCTAACCGTTCAGTTACCAGCTTGAGGTTGGGTCTGTAGACACCTTTGACTGCATCAAGAAAGGCCTAGTACTTATCCGGAGACCCAATGGCTTCCGTTCTAACCATTCAGTTACCAGCTCAAGGTTGGGTCTGTAGACACGTTTGACTGCGTCAAGAAAGGCCAAGTACTTATCCGGAGACCCAATAAATAATTCCGTCGGAAAATGTATTCGGTGAAGTGCGAGTTGTACAACGCTTTATGAGTTCCTGAACTGGGGAACGCTGTATTCTTCACCGCTCTCTAAATCAACCGTGGTGCCAGGGCAAGTGATCTTCTCACTGTCTGCCTTGATGACCATCATGCATACCTCACAACAGAACACATTCCAATCGACGAGGGTGTGTTTCAAACCGATCCTCAGCTCCCATTGGGTGACTTGTGACCCTGTAGAAGATCTAATGTTATGGCTGTTTCATCATTTGAAGTTGGAGGTGAATCAGTGCCAAATCAAATTGACTGAAGTATTATTATACAGTGCAGTTTTGGATAATCACAGGTACCAGGCAAAATGTCCCAGCAAATTTGGTCATAAAGCCCCGGACTTTTGGTCAATTGCCCCAGGAGAATAGTCAAAATGCTTCAATTTATTTAAAATGATTAAATACATACCAAAATTATATATATGCAAAAGTATTTGCATGTTATTAATGCTTTTGTAAAGAAGGACAAGAATTAAATAAAATGTTTGTATAATATGTTCATTGGCCACAAATGCATAGTTTTTGTCAAGTGTGATATTATAATCCTCAAATAGAAGTTATTCGGAAATCACATAAGTCTTTCTTTCAGTTTTAATTTTCTTCTGTATGGCAGGATGGTCCATGAATGCGTCTCACTTTTGACAGAAGCTGCTGAACTGTAATTAGCTCCTCCTTGTACTGTGCCCACAGAGCAAAGATCTCCATCTGGGCTGTGGTGGATTGTTGGGCTGGGTCCAAATTTTCTACCCTGGTACACCACCCCCTATTACCCTCCCTACCCGGATACCCGTTATGATAATTCCTGACATCAAATTTGTAAGAAATGGCAATGTATTCTTCAGCTCGGAGGTTTCGTATTTTTCAATATTTTAACCATGTATTATATTCAAAACAGGTGACTGCATAATTATGTCAAAATCTTCAAAGACACTACAACCTTTCAATCATGAAATAAAAACATATTACACTGTTTAGTCTGTTAGTCTCAAGATCATAATGGGTCCGGGTATTGAGATGGGTACTCGGGTCCAACTCATTACCACCAACCAACCAACACACACACCCCCCACCCAATCCCCCGTCCCGGGTATCCGGGTTACCCGTCCCAGCGTTAGTGGATTGGTCTCGTCCTCAGATTCTTGCTCTCAATTTGCTCTTTCAGCAGGAGGACCTAGACTTCTTTACAAAAGCATTGATAACATGCACAATAATTGGGGAAAGAGTTCCTTCCGTTCCCCCAACCCTAAACCTAACTCTAAACCTAACCCTAACTTAAATCTTGGACTTATAGTCATTTTTGTGAGTTCTCTAGTAATTGTTGTGTTAAGTTTTGTTAATAATTTTAGTATATATTAATTTATAAATATTATTTGGGATGGGGGAACGGGAGGAACTCTTACCATAACTGGTATTACAGTGTTTGTCTATACAGGAATATTCCTTTCGCTTTTATGAGTTTGCTTATGGAACATTTATCAGAAATATTACTTCATAAGAACTCTTACATGAAGAACATAACATAAGTTGACAAAAACTATGAAAAATTGGGTCATTTTGACTATCCCCTGGGGCAGTTTGACCAAAAGTTCGTGGCATTTTGATAAAATTTGCTGGGTCATTTTGTGGCTGGGGCAATTTGACTCATATATACAGATACTGTTAAGTCTTGGCAGAAACATGTTTCCGCGTTTGCGGGAATACCGGAAACGGAAGTGGAATATCCTGCAGCAATTATACCGATAATTCTCATTTAAAATATTATCGTCTCTACGCGGCTCATTACACGAAATTCTATTACATATACGAACTATAATTTAAAACAAATGATTTTAGTTTCTGCGCCCTCAAATGACCTCGACCCCTACAGTAGGTCAACCACGCCGGGTACACGTTGACAGGTTCTCAGACTTAGAAGATCACAAACTCGATTGTCCAACAGATTCTGAAACAGGTATGAACAAATTTTGTATCTTAATTTCTTTTGCCACGAACAGTTTTCTCAGTGTCAGATCCTTAATCACATGATGACAGAAAATACAATGTCGTGTTGATCTCTATTGCTGATAGTATTTTCACGAAGTTATGATGGACTGTGTTTACATTACAAACGTATCTGAAGTTGTGCTCGGACGTCCTTCAGTCTCATGTTATTGTCATTTGACAGTGAATGTCTTGTACAGTATCCCAAAATATCTTTGATGTAATTGATTAATTAATATACACCATAGCGTAGTGTCAACTTTGTGTATTTTTTTTCCACCACTGCCACGCTGTAGCACACAATTTAGTTGCTGTCAAGTAAGTACATTCATGACTGATTCAGGACTAATTTGATTTGACCCTTTAAAATTAAAAATGACAAACATTACAAATCAGGTATTCCATGAAAGGTAGAGCTCTTTAACTGTGTCATTCCTTTAAACATTTAGTATCAGCAATATTACAGTTGTATCTACTGCAATATATGTTGATTGCACTGGGCTTGGACGGGTTACCAAAGTACCTTACTTTAATTGGTCAGGTGAATAATTTTCACTACCCAGAGTCTGAATAAACTACCTGGATCCTGGTCATGTGTGATTGATAGTTTGATTGATGTATAAATTCAAAGAACTGAGTAATCAACCAAACTTAGGGCTTATGACAGCTGGATCTCCTGAACAGTATCATGGCTGTGAGCGTAGTTATGCTTCATTGGTTCTGGACCCATAAGCTCCCAGATAGCATTCAGACGTTGGCCCAACGTTGGCAATGGTTTTGCCAACATTTGGCCAACGTCCAAATGCTATCTGGGCTGTGGTCCACCATCTGGGACAATTGCTGTCTGTCGTCCATCTTGCAATTGCCCCACCTGGCTTGTGATCAGCCAGCTTTGTGGTACATTGGACATCTGTCATTAGGTTTGAAAGGGTAGTTGAACTGAGTCTGGATCTCCAATCTGTTTTTACTGTCCCCATCATTGAAACTCCTTTCTCACGCAGCTAGTACCAGAGATATTTGTACCAAGCTAAGTATGTTGCGGTACCTCAAGTAAACTTGGTCTTGTTTTATCACTGTTGACTATAGGTCTATCACAGATTCTGATTTCTCCTCTTTAGAGCTGAGGCCTCCATTAGAAGGTCAAGCAGTTCTGTCAAACAAGACTCCTGCTGATGCCTCTTCTTGTGAGGTGGCAAGAGAAATTATTTATGATTTTATCAGTCTCTTCTCTACCATTAGTGACAAATGCAGCTTTGTCTTCAGGCCAAATACAAGGACCGAAAATGTCTAACTCCCCCATGGCACCACTGTTTCCTTCTAACTTTCCTCATGATTGCATCTTTGGAAGATAACACCCTTTTCTTTCTTCCAAGCTTGATTGTCCTGTATTCATCATCAATTGCCTCCTTACTAAGGAAATCCTGTGCCATCTTCTCAAAGTCAATTTCTGTCAGTTTCACTCAAGCTGCCTTATAAACTCAGGGGAATAAGATCAGTTGATGTGTCATTGTCCTGTAGAACAGTGTGACAACTTGGCACAAGATGCAACGTACAGTAACATCATGTGCATGAACAGAACAATGTCCGGGGATTGATATTGTCCAAGATGTGCCTTGCCTTTCAGCTTGTGTCACCTTTGTTTTGCATGTCTACGTGGCTGCTTTGTGGGCTAGTAGCAGTAGAGTCAGAGTGAATTGCGTTCAGTGCTCTGTTTCTGTATGTTGCCCATCTTATGCCACTGTGACGTATCTATTGTGCCATGGCATGCAAATTAAGCTGTATTTCGAACACTGGATGCAAATGATACAGTAATCTGGGTTTTTTTAGTTTTGATCCATATATGACCAAATGCCACCTTTTTAAGTTTCAGTCACCCTGATTGTAACATTAGTAAGGGAATTAACTGTAAGCACAGCTATAGAAGGCAGCTGGATAAGGTCGGGTAATGCTACCTCAGGTACCCAGTCCAAACTCTCAACCCCAGACGGCACATATATATCTAGTCACAAATTGTAAAATACAAATTCCTGCTTGCAGTGGGCAGTTATGTCAATTCTGGTTCTGAGATTCAACTACCTGAAGGGATCCCAAAGACAAGATGAAACTGTATCAATCACTCAGAATGTGAAAAAATAGGCAAAACCACTACTTTTACAAGATACATACATGATCCATTGTTCTGAGATTAATTACTTCTTCTATAGACAAACTCTGGTTAACCACGGGTATTGTGTAGTTGTGTAACATATTTTGTATAGTAAGTGTAAAATAGCACTCAGCTACCATTTCTTATATTTTGTCTTGAAATAAGAGAAACATTTATGTGTGTCAACTTGTTTCACATTTTGCTAAGTGTTTGCTGTGCAAGCATAATTATGATTATTTCTAATTCTTTGAATTTCACTAAGAAGTCAATACTATTGTAACGGTAGAAACTGGAAATTTGTTGTCCACTATTCAGTGGGAGGACGCTTTTTAACCGGTAGTTCAAAAGAACACTTGTCCTCAACAAGTATGTTGGGAGTTCGTCTGAATGCTGAGGGCAAGTACTGATTTTGAAAATGACAAAATTTGTACCTTATTTTGTTATTGTGGATTTGAAAAGATGTGTTTTGTCTCAAGCTATGAATTGCATGTTGAATAACCATGGTAACCATTAGGGCTGCAGTGTATCCACTATATAATGAATCTGATACATGTCATGAATATAAGGCAATGAAAACAAATATTTCCTGATGAATTCAAGAACAAGTAAATAATTGATGCATTATTCATTAGATATTCACCAAATCCTATGCTGTAATTTTCCATGTGATTTATTTCATATTTTACCTTGAACATTGGTAGTTTTCTCAGTCTATGCACTTTTCAAAACCATGACTTACTTGTATGTTTTTGAAATGTTGTTTAAAACTAAGCACTCCTCAGAAAAGGCTAAAAGGTACTTTCCGTTTGGGTCTAGAAATTGTTCCAGCTCCATATTTGTCTTGTATCCATGTGAGGTCTCGAGCAAGTAATGAGGTTTTGGTGTAATGTATATCATGATGATCCTTATTTAAGGTGCAGACTCTGACTTGAATTGTTTAATGCCAATCACTGTTCATGTCTAAACTGAAGAATATGTGTACCCAACACAATAGAGTTGTACATTTCTTGTCAGTCATGGTAAAAGGTGCTCTAATTTGAGTTGCTTCCTTGTTATAAAATAAGCCTGATTCAGAGGTCCAGATAAACTGAATATAGTGGATATCGAACAGGAACTGATAACATGGAGGTAAAAACACAATGGTTCAAATGTTTTCTGAAGACAAGGCTGATATAGCTGTTAAAATGAAAAAGACTATGAAACACAATGTTCTTCAATGCCAGAAAACTAGATTTGTGTTTTAAGTTTTGGTCACTGACACTAACTGATAAAAATACTCTGAAATTGGGGGTGGGGGAGGAAAGAAATTAAATGACTTTTGACAATTTCAATTTAGCCAATAATGTTTTTTCAATAAGGTTAAATGAAAACGACAAGAGCTTCTATGTCCCCTTCATTAGAAATGAGGAACAATACAGACAAATATCTATTCTTACAAGAAAAGAATCATTTATTCTTTTGAATTGTTCTTCATCCTATCTCTGTATAGTGTAACCTACAGGTTTTCCTTTGCATTCATTAGAAACAGTTTTTATCTGGAAATAGTTTTTTTAACCAACTACATTGGAATTATAAGTCATGTTTTTATAAACCAACAAATAAAAAGTGCCAGATGTTATGACACTTATAAGTATATATAGAATTAATGTCTACAGAACCAATTAATTGACTAACAAGTTGAATTAAGAGTTATTTCACAGCCATTTGAAAACATAAGACAAGAAGAAAATAATTTTGAAAGTCATATGACATGAATCTCATTAACCTTACAAGCCATGAAGTATCTGTTTTAACACAAGCAACAAGTGACTACATTGATCCGTTACCTGGATGGTGTTTGTTTTTCTGGGTCAATCTGTCTCCCAGATCGATGCCAGGTGCGCCACATAGACTTGCAGGTGTGTGTCAATCCCTGAATATGCTGTCTCTGAATGTATCATGACTTTAACAAGATAAATGTCCTGTAGAAAGTGCGTTGTCCAAATGTGGCACTTAGCATTTCTTGTCATGCTATTCAATAGGAAGAAATTGTTTTGGTTAAAGATAACAGTTGTCCCTAGCACATGTGTGGGGATCTGGCCTGGATGTTCAGGACAAGTATTGATTTTGAAAATAACTGAATTTGTGCCTAATTGTTTTGTATTGTGGATGTGAAAAGTGGGGTTTTGTTAGACAAGTGACACTAACTCAAATCTCAAGGTATAACTTGCATGTTGAATAACCAGAGTACACATTAGGTTGCAATGAATCCACTTTATCATGAAAATGATAAATATCATGAATATAGGGTAATGAACACAAATATTTTCTTTTAATGAATTCAATAACAAGTCAGAAATTGATTCATTGTTCATTATATTCAAAACAATAACAAAAGCAGTTATTTGACATCTTTTGACCATGTTGACTGTGTTAATATAAAATAACAATGACCAGTGACGGCATTACTATCAAACTAAATCTGTATGAGTGTTAACTATGATACTACCTGGCCTAGATATGTTCGATATTTATCAAGCTTTCACTAAATGACAGAGGACAAAATAAACTCTCTTTTTTTTAACTAATTGGTTTTAGTGATCACAAATAACAAATTGAGTAAATGAGCGGATATGGTTCAATTGATTGTACACACGAGTGAATAATAACAGCACCCGTAAACATCTTGCTAAAAGGTTTTATTTGGTTTTTATAATCAGCATTTACATAAAAGGATATGTCAAGTATGGAAGTCATTTCAATATACGCCCATGATGTAAAAATGTTTGTTGATCAGTGGTGATACTTAAACCCGAAATACAGGAAACGGCTTAAAAACTTGGTGTCGTCCAAAGTTGCTGCCTTGCAAGGAAATGTTGACATGGTGTGGGGACTTGCATGCTGTTGTTGTTTAACAAACAAGCGAGTATCTGCAATGTTGTACACAAGGTTGCCCCTCTGTGGTCCGTGGTGTTTGTCAGAGACGGAGAGGTTAACTCACTGTCAGCCGCCACTGTGGCATCATGGGCAAGAGTGCATCAGTAGGTTTCTATGTATTTCGTAAGATTCTTGTTGTAGACAAGGAATTATGACATGCTTGACTTTAAACGTATTTGGCAAGATTTTATGTTTCATTCTATGATTAACAATAATCAGATTTTGACTGGGGTGAGTCTGGTTGGCTGGTATGCAGTAAGTGAACTTGTGAGCGACAAAAATGACGTTATTTTACAAACTGACTGTATTTTAATGTATCTGTTCTGAAGCAAGTTTTTTCAAATCTGTCTTCTGTGTTGTAGGTTGAACATTGTCGAAGTACTGCAGACATGTCGTTGTCTGTCGTGTTATTGCCACCTATTTTACATCTTGTGACTCAGTAATGGACAGGGCGGTGGGGTAGCCTAGTGGTTAAAGCGTTGGCTCGTCACGCCGAAGGCCCGGGTTCGATTCCCCACATGGGCACAATGTGTTAAGCCCATTTCTGGTGTCCCCCGCCGTGATATTGCTGGAATATTGCTAAAAGCGGCGTAAAACTAAACTCAGTCAGTCAGTCAGTAATGGACAGTCACAGTACATATGGATGAACATATGAAATTTAAGAAAATCTTATGTTTTGTTTTAAACTTGTATGCACTGACTCAGAGAGGAACAGTCCTTGTTATGTCCCCATAATGTCGAGGAACAGTCCTTGTTGTATCCCCATGATGTCGAGGAACAGTCCTTGTTGTATCCCCATAATGTCGAGGAACAGTCCTTGTTGTATCCCCATAATGTCGAGGAACAGTCCTTGTTGTATCCCCATAATGTCAAGTCCCATGTTTTAGCATTTATAAGTATGACCAGAAGTCGAACCACCAACCATCCACTTTCTGGATATGTGCACTATCTGCAAGGTCATGTAGGTGGCCTGAAGCATTTTCTAATATTGGCAGAAATCAACTGATAAAAGATTTGATAAAAGGAACTATGTTGTTTTATTTTCAGAAGACCAAGATGCCTGAGAAGTGTATCCTAGTCACTGGAGGGGCAGGCTATGTGGGAAGCCATTCTGTCATCGAACTGATTGCAGCAGAATACTCCGTCGTTGTCCTTGACAACCTGGTCAATGCCAGCATGGGTTAGTGCAAGATTACGCTGTAGTCAATGACTGTCTTTAACTGTCCGTCAGTCCATCCAACCTTTAATCCTGTAGCAGTTTATTTGATCTTCTCTCAATGTCATTTCCATATATTGTTTAAACAGCTGTTTTTGTCTTCCTTCTTTGTTATCATGAACAACATATCATGAAATGTTTAAAGGATGAATGTAAACGTCTTCACTTTCAAACAGCTTCCAAAACCTTCTGGTGTATATGATAGGCTTGACGTGCACAAGTCTCTAAGGTAATGATAAATAGTTTAAAAAATGATTTTAAAAAATATAAATAAATTAACAAAATGTTCCTCTAACAGACTGGCGTTACAGACAGACTGTACTGTCCACTTATCTAGACTTGCCTCTTTAAGGGATAGTATAACTATACATTCATGGGCTCAGGATTCAGTACAGCCTTGGAGTAAGGCTAATGATAGGCAAACATCAAAGGCCAAAGTCTGACACATTCTGTCATCTATGGTGTTAATCAAGATTGTCTTCTTCAGTTTCATCAGATACTCAACACTTGTGTTAATTCTATTTCCAGGATTTAAAGGTCACATAAACCCTAGGGGGTACAAATACATAAATCACTAACTGGCATCGTTATAAATGAAACCCGTCATTAAAACTACTCATTTCGACCTTTAATTGACTTAAATCGACCTTTTTGACAACAGTGCACAATTCTCACCCATGAGCGAAATTTCAACCAATCAGGCGGTAGCGACTCTGTGGCGTCATATGAGGAATAGCTTTGAGGGCCTGTGCAGAATTCATCTACATTTTAGGAGTTAAATTATCTTGTTTACAGGCTTGTATAAACCTGAAATCGTGACAATTGTTGTGGAAAATGAAAGCTATATGTTCTCACAATCTACTGTCATTTAATTTTGTCTCCTGCTTTGCCTAGTTTCCGAGTTACAACTTGTTTTCATAGGCGATTCTGTCAAAATCGATTGGTGTCATTAGGCCCTATTTGTATAATGACTGATCCAAATTGATCCCATTTCTGTGTTTTTACCTCGATATTTAATCATGTCATGTAAAAATCTGTTTGTATTCTCAAAACAGTGTAATGGCCCATAAGTTTTCACATGCAATACAGCAATTAATACTCCCTTGTTGTAACCCGTGTTAGGTGGTATAAACCTACACATGTTATTTGTCATCATTCACTTGATGGTCAGTTAATGAATTTATAACAGGTATAATTAGTGGTAACACACTTAGATTACCCGACAAAGGTTCCCATTTGGCATTTCTTGTGTCTGGAGTAAATATTCAACATTATAAACATCGATCAAAGGATTAACCGATAACAGCTGATTGATTAATTACTTTTATCTTACACAGCGGAATTGTCAAAGGTAGTGTTTATGTATGTAGATTTACTAATCTATACTGAATACACTCTGTCGTGTCGGTGTCTGCGTAAAAACAACGTCCTTCTTTCAAAGGATTAACCCGGCAATACATTGATTGATTGCCCATTATTGGCTAACTAAATTACTGTTTTTAAAGAAAGGCGGACATTATGCAATTAGTTGCCAGGTGTGCTATCTTGGGTGACCAATGAGACTATACACCAATACCTGAAAAGATTTATCACTTTTTAGGTATATTAAACTGTTAAAAGACACATCATTTGGAACAGTTTTGTGGATATTGATGGATACATTCCTCGAACAAGGTAATGGCCTGATATTGTTCCTATAACTTTAATCTGTTTTAATTTTAATATTTGCATTTTGTTTTTATTCATTTGTCGTAGCATTCAACAGAATCATTGTTTTAGCCCGTGAAGTGTAATGAGACAGACAACATGCACTAGAATTGTGTGTGCGAATTATGATTCACATTGGCAAACTATAAAATGTCTAGATATTACAGTTCTGTTATAAATTCACTATAAGTATCAGCAGATCGTCTGCTTTTTTATTTAGTTTCAAAATGCATACAAGTATGATAATAAACTAATTAGGATTATAAGACCAAATATAAAGGCGCACATTGACTAGTATCTACATACTGGTGAGTGGACATTAACCATGGGAATGTAGCAAAGAAATTTATCGCGCAGTATTGTGACTTCGACCCCCACCTGGCTTCCGTGGAAGAAATCGTTATGTTATAAGTTGTGTCATGCAAAATCCGTTTGGTTATGATTCCAATACATATTTAACTCTGAGTAGAAAGTAGTCTTGATTTTCTAACTTGATGAAAACAAACTATAATCTCATTAATTCTAACAGATTTTTATTTTTAAAATGAAACCCTGTCGGGAACATCCGCCAGTCTGAGGATAAATGGTATTTAGGTTTTGTTTCCACCCGAGTTACAAAATCAAAACTACTTTCTACTGGTAATAAATATATATTTTATTGATAGCCAATAGGATTTTGCATGACAAAGCGTATATAACATAACAATTTCTCTCGTGGCAGCGAGGTGGGTGTCAATATAATACTACTTACAATATTATTGTTACTTCGACCACAACCTCACTTCGAAAGAAATCGTTATGTTACAAGTTGTGTCATAGAAAATGTTTATGGTCATCAATCATATGCATATTTTACTACAACTAGTAAGTAGTTTTGATTCTCTTAACTTCCGTGAAGCGATCTGAACACAAGTAAGATATCGTTTCAGGCTTCCACAACGCCGCTAAACCGCACTCACAAACATAACCCATTTAGCACGAACTGCGGGGTCCTGTGGAAATCTGTGCATGGGGACACCATCGCCCGACCCTAGGAGAGCAATTGGCGACAAAGCAGCGATTCGGCATGTAAAATTAAGTTGATGTCGAAATCATCAAAATGATGAGCGTGCTACACATTTTCTATACAACTAACTGAAAATCGTTCCTCATATGACGTCACTGCAGTGCTCTGGCGACAGAGTTACGTAACCTGTCTGTGGTTTCGTTGGCGGGCGAGAGGGAAGCAGGCGACTTTTTGGCAACTTTTAATCGCTCGGTATTAAATAACCACAAGTTTTTAAAGAATAAATTTGGTGTTCCGCATAAGACTAACCACAAATCTTTCATATGTAATGGTTAAAAGAGTAACAAAAAACAAAGTTTAGTGGTTCTTTAAAGCTATAGTGTATTTAAGCTGGTGTAATAATGTCACATTTTAAGTGACAGTAAACTAGTCTTACAATGTTACAGAGAATATTAAAGGTGATGTAACAATGTTACAGCTAGTGTTTAAACTAGTTTTACAATGTTACAGCTAGTGTTTAAACTAGTTTTACAATGTAACAGCTAGTGTTTAAACTAGTTTTACAATGTTACAGCTAGTGTTTAAACTAGTTTACAATGTTACAGCTAGTGTTTAAACTAGTTTACAATGTTACAGCTAGTGTTTAAACTAGTTTTACAATGTTACAGCTAGTGTTTAAATTAGTTTTACAATGTTACAGCTAGTGTTTAAACTAGTTTTACAATGTTACAGCTAGTGTTTAAACTAGTTTACAATGTTACAGCTAGTGTTTAAACTAGTTTACAATGTTACAGCTAGTGTTTAAACTAGTTTTACAATGTTACAGCTAGTGTTTAAACTAGTTTTACAATGTTACAGCTAGTGTTTAAACTAGTTTTACAATGTTACAGCTAGTGTTTAAACTAGTTTTACAATGTTACAGCTAGTGTTTAAACTAGTTTTGCAATGTTACAGCTAGTGTTTAAACTAGTTTTACAATGTTACAGAGAGTATATAGTATGACCAGAAATTATTGAAAATTTTAGGAATATGTTTAATTGGATTTCTAGTATAAACAACCTTGACCAGCTATCAAGTGCTTGGTTTTATTCAAGAGAGACAACTCCCTCAATCCTTTTTCATTAGTTTGTGAAGAGTTATCCCCCTTTGTTTACTTGCTAGCAGACGACATTTTCAGTGATCCTCAGTATGGATGATTTAGAGAAGAGGAAGTTGATTTTAGAGTATTATAACAAGGACATAAGATCAGCTAAAGTGATTTCAAGTAGAACAGGCATCCCTTTGTCCACTGTTTATCGTGTTTTGAAAAATATTGCAAATGGATATGGCATTGAGCACCAGGGAGGCGCAGGTAGGCCCAGAAAATTGACTGTCGGTGACAGGAGGCGGCTTGGTATTTTTGTTTCTAAAAACAAACGAAGGAGTTTAGAAAAAACTTAAGGCCGGATATGATTGAAAGAGGAACTGTGGCTGTCTGTAAGGAGAGAATTAGAACTGAGCTGCATGCAATGGGTTGGCAGAAAAGTCGAGGAATTCCATCACTGATCATGAAACCTGAACAAAAGGAGCGAAGGTTAAACTGGTTCTTCCAGCATAGAAATTTTAACTGGGACAATGTGATTTTCCCAGATGAAAGTTCTGTGTGGCTGTTATTCTTGACCAAACAAACTGAAAAACCTTTGTATCAGCACCCAAAGTACAGTCTGAAATTTAACATGTGGGGTGGCATATCTATGTTAGGGGCAAAGTCCCTCTGTGTATTTGAAGGTAATATGAACAGTAAGCGGTACACAGATATTCTCGAGGGACAATTACTTCCATCTGCTCACATGTTCTATGAAATTTATGGATTTTCCAGCAGGACAATGACCCAAGACATTGTTCAAAGCATTCACAGGCCTGGTTTCGGACCCAAAATATGACATTATTAGATTGGCCAAGCTATAGTCCTGACCTAAATCCAATAGAAAATGTTTTCTGAAGCCTGCATTGCTGCCCATGGTGACTTGACAAAATACTAACTGTTCACCTGTCCTTTGAATCTGGAGTTATGTTCTGCTAATATTCATATTTAATACGTGAGTAATGAGTGAAAAAAACCCAATTACAATCTTTAAATTCTCAATAATTTCTGGTTGTACTGTATAAACTAGTGTTGCAATGTTACAGAGAGTATGTAAGAGGGATATAACATAGTTACAGAGCGTATATATAAACTAGTGTTATAATGTTACAGAGAGTATGTAAGCTGATATAACAAAGTTACAGAGCGTAAATATAAACTAGTGTTGCTATTTTACAGAGTATGTAAGCTGATATAACATAGTTACAGAGCGTATATATAAACTAGTGTTATAATGTTACAGAGAGTATTAAGAGGGATATAACATAGTTACAGAGCGTATATATAAACTAGTGTTATAATGTTACAGAGAGTATGTAAGCTGATATAACATAGTTACAGAACGTATATATATACTAGTCTCATAATGTTACAGAGAGTATGTAAGCTGATATAACATAGTTACAGAGTGTATATATAAACTAGTGTTATAATGTTACAGAGAGTATTAAGAGGGATATAACATAGTTACAGAGCGTATATATAAACTAGTGTTATAATGTTACAGAGTGTATGTAAGCTGATATAACATATTTACAGATCGTATATATAAACTAGTGTTATAATGTTACAGAGAGTATTAAGAGGGATATAACATAGTTACAGAGCGTATATATAAACTAGTGTTATAATGTTACAGAGAGTATGTAAGCTGATATAACATAATTACAGAGCGTATATATAAACTAGTGTTGCAATTTACAGAGAGTATGTAAGCTGATATAACCCAGCTACAGAGTGTATATATAAACTAGTGTTATAATGTTACAGAGAGTATGTAAGCTGATATAACATAGTTACAAAGCGTATATATAAACTAGTGTTATAATGTTACAGAGAGTATGTAAGCTGATATAACATAGTTACAGAGCGTATATATAAACTAGTGTTATAATGTTACAGAGAGTATGTAAGAGGGATATAACATAGTTACAGAGCATATATATAAACTAGTGTTATAATGTTACAGATAGTATGTAAGCTGATATAACATAGTTACAGAGCGTATATATAAACTAGTGTTATAATGTTACAGAGAGTATGTAAGCTGATATAACATAGTTACAGAGCGTATATATAAACTAGTTTTATAATGTTACAGAGAGTATGTAAGCTGATATAACAGTTACAGAGCGTATATATAAACTAGTGTTATAATGTTGCAGAGAGTATGTAAGCGGATATAACATAGTTACAGAGTGTATATATAAACTAGTGTTATAATGTTACAGAGAGTTTGTAAGAGGGATATAACATAGTTACAGAGCGTATATATAAACTAGTGTTACAATGTTACAGAGAGTATGTAAGCTGATATAACATAGTTACAGAGCGTACATATAAACTAGTGTTATAATGTTCCAGAGAGTATGTAAGCTGATATAACATAGTTACAGAGCGTATATATAAACTAGTGTTATAATGTTACAGAGAGTATGTAAGCTAGTATAACATAGTTACAGAGCGTACATATAAACTAGTGTTGCAATGTTACAGAGAGTATCCGCCGCGTGGAGGAGATTGTCGGGAAGAAGATCCAGACATACAATGTTGACCTGCTGGACAAGAAGGCAGTGGAAGAGGTGTTCGGCAAGGTTAGTTGAGGTCACATTACATTCAATCTTCATTCAACTTGAAAGGAATCCACTCTCAATTGTCCTCTGATTTTTATGGATGTGTGAGAAGTCCTGTTTCTATGGATATGTGTAACTCTAACTGGGTGGCTACAGTTCAACTCCGTAATGGATCAGCTGTTTCCCTGTCGTTCAGAGTTGATATTGGGAATAAGGCTGCACTTTAATGGGAGGGTGTTACTTACACTACAGACAGTTTGGAGTAGAAAGACACCAGTCAAATTGCATAATTGTATTTGCAAAAGAAAAGAAGGATACTCTTCATGTTTTTGGAAAATCCAAAATACCACTGATGTGTGTGACAAGAAGAGTGATGAAGACATACCTTCACTGATGGAAGTGTTTATCTTGTCCCTGCTGAACTCACAGAGACTCACGTCATTTCAGCAAAAAGCCACAATTTCACATGTACACTAACTTCATGCTATTTTGAACAACAAATTTAATTTTGCCTCTCTTTTGACAAGGATTTGATCAAACGTACCTGAAAAATCACGAAATTTAGTGTTTAATATGAGCCTTGCCGAAAGCTGTCAGTTGTGTGATATGTTCATGTAGTTTTCAGAGTGTAACAGAGCTGGGTTTAAGCTAGGGCAGAACATGTGGCAGTGTGCTGTCCTGGGATGCATTATTGAAATTCTTCTCTTCAGCATCAACTTCCCGAGCTCCAACAAACATGTTTAGCTGATAATATCTGTCAAGCACAAAAGTAACATTCTTTTAGCCTGTTAAGTATATTTGTTCATTGTTTGAATTCATGACCTTGGTCCCTTTGAAATCTTTGTTCACTGCTGTGTGATAGTACGAAAATATGGTGTACCTGACTAAAAGCTGCAAGTTTTTGATCTGACAAAATGTACATGTATATGTTTTATATGATAACTAAACAAAGCAAAAACTGTGATCTTGATTTACCAATCCTGTCTTGTGTCGAGGTAGGGTTCTGTCTGCTGGCACTAATGGTAATTCTTTATTCTGCAATGCCAAATATAGGAATGCAGATTTTATGTATAAGAACCCCCATATCCCATCCCCCCCCCAAATGATTTTCTACTCTTCTTGTTTTAAGTTAAACAAGGAATTCAATATTTTCAGAATAAATTCTATTTAGGCGGAGGGGATATGTCTTAAGGCTTATGGAAGCAATTCTTTTGTATTTTGTTGAAGTTTTGAACTGGTCCCTTGCATGATCTCAGGTACTCTTTATAGTCTTGTTGCCTTAAATCCCTAAAATAAGGATCCCAAGTTGCAATGTTACTGTCATGGACAATATGTTGAAATGTTTCTGTATGCTTGGGAGAATTCTAGGTTGTTGAGCATGTCATCATTATGTATTTTGCATATTTAATAACTATGTTTCTTCATAATTTCCTGTATTAGCAGCTAATGTACATATGTCTGCTTGCAGCACAAGTTCAGTGCAGTGATCCACTTCGCAGGTCTGAAGGCTGTTGGGGAGTCATGTGACCTTCCGCTCTTGTACTACAAGACAAATGTTGGCGGAACTGTCAACCTTTTAGAGGTCAGAGATGTGTTTTGCTGATGTACTTGTTCAACCAGTCTAATGTAATCTCTAAGCCAGTTGTAAAGGCATTAACCAAGAATCAGAAACTCACTCACTCATGCAGTGGCTAGCCAATGGTTTTACCGTGGGCACCCTGTGTCTGTTCAAGAGTGTTTCACAAGCTTAGTGTAGTACATCTTCAACTACTACCAATAGTCAACATACATATTGTATACATTAGGCAAACTTCAAAAAAAAAATTCAGGAAGATGAGTTTTCATCCTGAATTGGAAGGGAAATAGAAAGCTCCCTTGGAAGGTTTGTTGAACACCTGTGAAGTGACTGCCATGTTTATCTTCCTGACAGGTGATGAAGGAGAATGGGGTCAACAACCTAGTGTTCTCCAGCTCTGCAACAGTGTATGGAACACCACAGTATCTGCCTCTGGACGAGAAACACCCAATCGGGGGATGTACCAATCCTTATGGCAAAACAAAATATTTCATCGAAGAAATTTTAAGAGATCTCTCGAATGCAGAAAAGGTTGGTGCAGTTTAACAGTAGTTTTGTTGGGCTGATGAATAATATACATGTGTAAATTAGCTTGGTGTCAATTACTTCTAACACAATAATCATCATGTAAACAGAGTCATAGTTTATTTGTTGCTGATACGCAAATATAAACTGTATTTAAACATAAAAAATGGTTTGACATGAAAAATGGTTAGTGTTAATCCCTATTGTTTTCACTGTATCTAAAGAGGGTTTTGTTCTCTATGCATGTAAAATATTGAAGTCAGATCTTCTTCACCCCTCTGCTGGTTTGAGAAATATGACTGATTTTACGTTGCTGTTTGTGTGTGCAGCAGTGGAATATTGTTATCCTGAGATACTTCAACCCAGTTGGTGCTCACAAGTCGGGGAAGATCGGGGAGGACCCTCAAGGTCCGCCAAACAACCTGATGCCGTTTGTAGCCCAGGTGGCAGTAGGGCGAAGGTCTGAACTGAAGGTGTACGGCAGCGACTACGACACTCCCGATGGGACAGGTTAGTGAAGTGTGGGGTCTGTAGTTATCAGCATCAGCATTTGTACCTTTCTTGTAAGTGGACGGATGATAATACTTTCAAGATATAGTGTTAAGCAGTTGAAGATTTTTACTGTAATTTGAGTGGATTGTCTCCCCTTGACCACAATGGATACAGCATTAAAATAGCTTTTCACTTTGTTAATTACTTCACAAAACATGCTTCTTCATATTTTTAATGTAAATTCTGTGAAACAAAAATATGTTTCTCTATATTATTCTTCCCTTGAATTAATTCACTCTTTTTCCTTCGAAACATTTGTAAACTGTTGTCCCAACACAGAAGTATGGGACATTGCTGTAGTGTTGGCACAAACTCATATTGACTTGTTTGCCAGTAGAGGGAGAGTAAACATGCTTAATGAGGTTTCTGCAGTGTTTTCAATGAAAGAAAAGGTATAAATTTACACACAACAAAATCAAAGTACATTCCATTTTTGGGGGGCTGCAAAATATATTTCAAATGTAATTGGCTACACTGACTATGTATGAATCCATGTTAAACATAATTTGCAAACCATATCTGTTTATGGCCAATTACTACACTGTCAGTATGAGTAACCCTGCCTGGTTGTAATACAGGAAGGAAGCTTGTGTGGAGCATATTACCTAGATTGTCTCCCCTGACTGCATGCTAGGATCAAGTCAAACACTTAACACATGGTATTGTTGGTTTTAGGTGTTCGGGATTACATTCACGTAGTTGACCTTGCCCAAGGTCATGTGGCAGCGATTAAAAAAGTCGAAGAGGGCTGTGGAAGCAAGGTGAGTTACTTATCATAGCTGAAATATCTAAGACTTCATATCAGTCGTCACGGAAGTCACTCAACATGTCCTCAGTCACTGATTGATTAAACCAGATTATCAGGTATACAAACTGGGTCTGTGACAAAGTGTACTTTTCCATCAGACATAGCATGTTGAGGTAGTCCTAAAGCAACTGTGCCTCGCTGCCAATAGTGATGTTAATGACCTCTATTTGTCTTCCATTGAAGACCTACAACCTGGGAACTGGACATGGCTACTCCGTACTGGACATGGTCAAAGCATTTGAGAAGGCATCAGGAAAGTCGGTGGGTAGTCAGGGTAGAATCTTGTCTACAATGTATTACACTTCCCTTACAATACACAACAATCTTGTACAATCACTCGACCTCGCTGCACAATACTCTACGCTGCCATACACATCACACACACACACACACACACACACTCTCTCTCACTAACTAACCTATACCTCTCAATACAATATACAGTCAAATCTCGATGAGTCGAATCGCTGGGGATCAAGTAATAAATTTGACTTATCAATGTATTCAAGACATAGGTATGTCTATGAGGGTAAAAAATAAAGATGATCGAACACGGGAACAATTCCTTTATTCAGCACATCATGTCAAACTATAGCACACCAATACATTAGTTGACATAGATAATGAAAACAAATAGTATATAAATATGAACACATTTCAATACTAGCACAATGAAATACAAAATAAATGTACCTCTTACAATCCATCTCATGTGTGTATTTATGAGATGAATTCGTGTAACCGGAAATCAAATGATGACAACTATGACAGGGAATGGTCGGGACCGACAGGTACTTCGAGTTATGCAGAATATTCGAGACGCCGTCATTCGACTCATCAGGATTTGACTGTACTCTATACAATCTACAACACACCACCCTCCCTTAAGCAACACACCAGACTTCCAGGTACGAGCATCTTGATTAACTGTTCCCTTTCACTGCAGATTCCATACAGTAAAGTTGAGCGCCGTCTTGGAGACATCGCCTCATGTTATGCTGATGCTGCTCTTGCAAAGACAGAACTGCCGTGGACAGCACAAAAAAACCTGGATGAGATGTGTAAGTCCTTAGTGGATGTATACAGACAGACCATGTGTCTATTATGTTATGTAGATGTCTTGGTCACTGTTCCCCTCATTTAAAATATATCTCATACTCCTGTTCCCTCCCTCCATCAAGATCTGCCGATAAAGCCAGAGTGATGGTTGACCAGACGGTGAAAGCTACTGATGCCAAAAGACATTATTCAGATTAAATATTTGACCTCCTCCGTCACTGAATCAGAAATTTGAGTCTTAGTACAAGAAAATCCAAATGCTCATTTCAGGTGAAGATCCCTTGTTGTTTTAGAAAGTGCCTGTATTGTTCGAAGACATTCGATATATTTGTGTTGAGTATTTACAAGGTCATGCTTGCAAGAAAGTTTGCCTCCAATGTGGGTTATTCTGGTCTTTACAGATAGTTCCCCTGACTGTTCCTCTCAAAAACAAGGCAGGTTCCTTTGTACTGGAAGCTGTCAACATGAATAGCCATGAACTGTACTTTGTGGCACGATAGTGATTCCATAAATAAATGATTAGATGTTGGTTGTCATGGTGCTAGGATCATATCCCATGGGAATTCTGAGGAATTGTTGTATATATGGTGGTGGTAAATCTGTTAATCTGGTATATTTGATCATAGTAACTCTGTTAATACATGATGGTTGTCATGGTAAAAGGACCTTATCCCATGGGAAACCCTGGGAACTGTTGTTTATGAGATGATAGTAACTCTGTTAGTACATGATGGTTGTCAAGGTAAAATGACCTTATACCATTGGGAAATCCTAGGAACTGTTGTTTATGAGATGATAGTAACTCTGTTAATACATGATGGTTGTCATGGTAAAATGACCTTATACCATTGGGAATTCCTAGGAACTGTTGTTTATGAGATGATAGTAACTCTCTTAATACATGATGATTGTCAAGGTAAAATGACCTTATACCATTGGGAAATCCTGGGAACTGTTATTTATGAGATGATAGTAAATATGTTAATACATGATGGTTGTCATGGTACCATGACCTTATCCCATTGGAAATCCTAGGAACTGATGTTTATGAGATGATAGTAAATCTGGTAATACATGATGGTTGTCATGGTAAAAGGACCTTATCCATTTGGGAAATCCTAGGAACTGTTGTTTATGAGATGATAGTAAATCTGTTAATACATGATGGTTGTCATGGTACCATGACCTTATCCATTTGGGAAATCCTAGGAACTGTTGTTTATGAGATGATAGTAAATCTGGTAATACATGATGGTTGTCATGGTAAAAGGGCCTTATCCCAAGGGAAATCCTGGGACCCGTTGTTTATGAGATGATATTAAATCTGTTAATACATGATGGTTGCGATGATTTTTTGCAGGTGAGGATCTGTGGAGATGGCAGTCTACCAATCCGAATGGCTTCCGATCAGCTGATGGCAAATAATGGCAACTAATGCTAAGCATTAAATAAATTACAAACAGTAGTTATAACAATCATTGCCCGGTCTGCTTCACAACACCACATTCATCAGTGATCTCTTTCAGGCAGCCATGAAGAGGGACAGTTACATGGAATAAACATTTATTTTTGTAGATCATAGACAATACATACAGACTTGTTGGGAACATAATGGAATGGTGAGCTTTGTGGGGAAGGCTCCACTGTAAAGTTCATGTTGAACTTTGAAGACTTCACTGTATCAAGTGTGAAAGTTTAGTCTCAAGTGCTGTGAAAGATGGCTCCATGTGTCATGGGCTCCACTTTGTCAGATGTAATTGTTGACTAATGTGAGTCTATCTGATGGCTCCAAATGTCATGTAGAACGGTGCTGTATGACATGGATTGTCTTGTAGCACTTCTGTGTCTGATGTGACGCTTGCTTTTAATCTTGATATAGCTGTTACATATTACCGGTTGTGTCTTTGGTATGATCTTGTTTCCATGGAAACACATACTGCAAATTTGTACCTTAACTAGCTGGTCTTGTGTGCCAAGTGTTTATGACATCGTGTATGTTTTTGAGTAAGGGTCCACAAATTAACCTTGTCTTACCTTGACCGCTGACCTTGAAAAGAATGTGACAATTTTTGTCAATATTAACAATATTTAATTTTAATCACATATCCAAGAACCAGAGGATCATTAAAAGCAGTGAGACCCCGACCTTGGGCAGGGCCATACACCAAACTATATACATTTGTGAAATGTTACCTATCATTTTACAAGAAATTTCTGGAATTGACTGTAGTCTTCATGAGGCCTACATGGCTGCTATCATGATTATTTATGTGTGTTGAAACATTTTTTTTCTACGAGTTATTATATCATGTGTGTATAGACATCTGTACTGACTTATATTACATGGAGTTAGATTTGTAAAACAAAAGTAGTATCGGCAGAAATTGGTTCAACTTGATATTTAATTTTCTTCCCTGTCACAATTCAGTTACGGGGTAGGACAAGGTCCAACAAAAAGGCAGTCATACCTTTCACACATCCCGTCTTCTTGTTGAAATGTCCAGTAAATGTACTGGGAGTAGTACTGTCCTCCCTGGGTTGGGCCACTTTTGTCCATGTAACCAGGGTGGCATTGAAAACCAGACTATACTGACATGACACCAGAAGATTAGATTAAAACCAAGACACATCCATTTCAGCAGAGATATTTATTCAAACAGAACTTTATACCTTAGAACGGCTGGGGGTGATTACAAACAGTATTTTTAATAAGTTTCTTTCTGGAACTTGTGGAAATGTTCTGCACAGTTTTTGGCAAGGTTAAAATGTATACACATGTACTTTTTTCACTCTCTGCCCCATTTCTTCTTCGGGCATTTCTTTTTCTGTCTTTAGATTAATGCCCAGGATCTTTTCTTCACACCAAATACACTATAGAACCATTCTTGTCAGTTTACCCCCCTTTATTCCGTTTAAGGCCACTTGCAGAAACTGACCAACATTTCAGATTTACTAGCGGATTTTAGATGGATAATGGTGATGTTTTGATTTCAAGACCTTTACCGATTTCTTTCTCACAAATGTTTTGTCATTTATTTTGTGTGTGTGTGTGTGATTACTTTTGTTAAAAAATGTTGTTAACTGTTAAGACATTTGTGAGATTATGTTCAAATGTGCAGGAATAATTTCTGTAAAATTATCACAAATTAGAAACTTATTGTTATTTATTCTTATATACATGTATATGCTTGGTGGTTATTATACTTTGAAGTGGGTGGTAAATAATAGTATTGTATATTTGGTTGGTGGTTATTTGCGGAGTGATATCAGTGTAGCTCTCAGTGTAGACTTTCTGATCTCACTAGTGTATTGTTTCATTTTCTCTTCACCCTGTATATTTCACTGGTGTTAATGTTCGCACTGTTCAAGGGACACAGATTGTGCATTATAGCTTGTGGTGCCATAAGCGTGTGGTTACTGTTAAGGTTATCTCCCCTTATCAGTACATCTTGATCTGAACAAACTTACAAATATGTGCAAGAGATGTTGGAGTTCTAATCTTAAATATAGTAAGGCTATGTGTAACAAAAATAAAGATCATGTTTACCGGTATCTTTCATTTGTCTTTATTTACTCAACAAGTAACTAAACCAGCAGTGCACCAGGGATGTACAAGGAATATCTTATGGCAAGAGAAGACTGCACAGAGAGTTCACAGTCAGCATTCTGAACACTTGAAAACAAATGAAAATACACCTCAGAGCTGAAAAAAGAAATAATAATCTGAGACCGATCTCACCTCCATCCACACATCATTATGACATTCAACAATAAAGTCCACTTCTTCAGATCATTAGTACTTGCCTGTATGTACCGAAAAAAAAAATATAAATAAACGTTTGAAAAGCCAAAGACAAAAAGTTCAACAGCTGCCTGATAAGCATTAATGGTTTGACAAAGTAATATTACAGTTACACTACGAACATCACTATGGAACTGTCCGGCCGTGTTCAGTTCAGCACTGATATGTATACAAAGTTTACTTAGAAAATAGCGAACGGTTTAGTAGCCATGCTATCTCTCTAAACATGATGGATGGAGCCATTTCTATAACCACAGCAACATAATTTGTTTGGGGGATAACAACTGGGCCACACATAGACTGTGAATTGGGTACTGTGTAAAACCATAAAATAAATGCTTCAAGTATATTCCAAAGTTTTCAATGTGGAGAACTAGCTCTATAACAACAAAATAATAACAAGGATTACATATAAAATTCAACAGAAGATTTCATATCCATTTAGCAGCAAATAAGAATGTTATCATTACTCATAAAGTAGGTCACTTTTGGAGATTTGGATCAAGCAGGAAGCAAAAGGAAGAAATGAGAGGGAGCAGATTCCCAAATGGACATCCTCTTCTTGTGGCTGTGAGAGTAAGACCGTTTCAGTCAGGCAAGTTGTCTGTGGTGTAGTCCTGTTTACCATCAAGATGGAGGACACAAACACTACTCTGAAACTTGCGTTGTTGTTAATGGTGGTGTCCATAATTCTCCAACTTTATCCCTGCAGCCTGTGAATAACCCAGTCATGTGGTAAATGACCAATGTCCGACACGGTTTGGGAACAGTGACATACTATCAACCAAGTCAACAAGCTTGACCGTCTGGTCCAACATAATCCATGGCAGTTCTAACTGAAATCCTAATGTCCACGTGGAGTTCATTGTGATAATGAAACTGTGATAACAAAAAGATAAGGCGACTAAATGACCCGATCTGTTGCAACATGACCGCTAACAACTGCTGATATGTTCAAGAAGTAGACACTGGAAAATTCTGCATTGAATAAAAGTGTAGACAGAAAACAACGTGCAATCATACACGTCTTTCTTCTCAAAACTATAGACATTTATCACATAGTGCATACAATTCTCACAATAAACATTACTCTTGACTGACAATCTAGTGGACTTTATCCTCTTCAACAATTTTCTTGATGAGCTCTTTCCGGTCTTTAGGTGGGGTTATGAAGTATAACATCTGCTCCTCCGAGTACTTTAGTGAAACTGGCACAATGTCCCTGAATGACCAATCTTGCCAGTTGTGGTTGTACCTGTGGAGGAGTTCTTGGCGTAATGATGACGTTGACACAACGTCCGGGGGCTCCTTCTGGGCAAGGTTTGAATAAAGCACATTTCTGAATATTATGACTCCTCGTAATGCAAACCAGCCTCCATATTTCGGATGTACACTGACACCATATATTTTCTGCAACAGAAACCACATGACATCACCATTAACACGTTCAATCATTCAGTCTTATAATACATGATGATGTAAATATACAACAAAGGCAATACACATCTCAAAACTGACATACACAAGGTAACACATAGAAAAAGTGTGAGTAGAGTGGCCAACTTATCGGTCATATCCCATTAGTCCTACTCCCACTAGTCATACAGCAAATGGGGGATTAATTAAAACAACAACAGGCATATACCCTTTGCGCAAAATGGACTAGCTCGCTAATTCGAGAGCTTGAGGTTAGTTTAATCTCTAACACTGAGAATGCCACAGTCTTTGGTAATGACATCATACAAACGAATGTTATTAAAATGAATTACATTAATGTTATATGAATATAATAGACCAAAACTGTTTGTTGATTATCAAAACATTTAAAACAATGTGAAACTCTAATCTCGTAAAAACACATAAGTTCTCTGTATAGACTTTGGCTTATCGTCAATCAACCTTTATTCCGTACATTTATATTCGCCCGAGTAGTAACTTTTATATTTTCTCAAATATTATTGATTTTTTTCTTTGTAATGTTGCATGGAATATAAACATTGATAAATTCTGAAGTATTAATATGTTTGTACTCCTTAGTTATGATATAAATCTAATAACGTTTGGATATCTATAAAAATGATTTGGTATTCTTATTTGGTACCCACCCAGCTTACCTTGTCCCCCTCCCAAGGGTTCCCTGTGACGTTAGACACTAGGTACAAGTACAGATCCCCACCCACCCAGCTTACCTTGTCCCTAAAAGGGTTCCTGTGACATCGGACACTAGGTAGAAGTACAGGTCCCCACCCACCCAGCTTACCTTGTCCCCACCCAAGGGTTCCCTGTGACGTCAGACACTAGGAATTAGTACACATCCCCACCACCCAGCTTACCTTGTCCCCACCCAGGGTTCCCTGTGACATCGGACACTAGGTACAAGTACCGTCCCCACCCACCCAGCTTACCCTGTCCCCACCCAAGGGTTCCCTGTGACATCGGACACTAGGTACAAGTACACGTCCCCACCCACCCAGCTTACCTTGTCCCCACAAGGGTTCCCTGTGACGTCAGATGCCTGGTAGTAGTATGCTGCCCCAGCAACATGGCCAGCAGTCTGTACCAGGACTTTTGGCCGGCGGTTCGGGTGCAGCTCAAAGTCATGAATTGTTTCAGCCTCACCCTCAGGAAATGCCTTGAAACATTGCAGTCAGACATTTTCACAAACAATTAAATTGGAAGGTTTCAAAGTAAAAATATCAACATTCTTTTCTATATATTGCAAAGGACTCCATTCTGAATGAATTTTTATAAGAAATAGAACTATAGTGAAACCTGCCAACACCGGCACCTGTCTAATCCAGTACACTGTCAAAATCGGCATAAAATTTTGGTCCCAACATTTTCGATTGATATTATGATCAATAAAACATTGTCTAGTCCGGCACCTGTCTTTCTACTTTCCGGTCCCAACAAGCAATTTCAACTGTAATTAACACTGTCTAAACTAGCATGGGTATGAGCAGTCCAATCGGGGTCCTTTAATCTAATATACACTCCTCTGGGCACGCTACACTGAGAGATTGACGTGTGGAAATGGCAGCCATGTTGGAAAATGATAGTCCCTGTCTAATCCGGCACTCTGTCTAAAAAGGCATTTTATTTCGGTCCTGTGGGATGCCGGTTTAGACAGGTTACAAATGGGAAGTATGTGAGCATGTATTAGTGTCCCCAAGTCTAGGATCAGTTACCAAAGTTCCAGCTCAAGATGCCTTGAAGGTTCACAGAATAAACACATGCAATGATACTAGAAAAGCAGTGCTACTGCACAGTAGTTCACCTGTACTAAGAAGGGGTTATCCCAAATATAACACGTTATTTTTAAATACTTCCTGAAACATTTGTTCCTACACCTGCATTTACAGAGAACATATGAGCATGGTCAAACATGGATAAAATTTAGAATCTCACAAACACAAAAGAAGATTGAGTTTCACTCCTGACAACACATCCCAAATTTCATGACATTTTGTACAGACATAGCCAAGTAGCAGCCATAAACGGCAGTTATAAAATATGGATACTATAGCAGTCCAACTGAGTGAGTGAGTGAGTTTAGATTTACGCTGCTTTTAGCAATATTCCAGCAATATCACGGCAGGGGACACCAGATATACGCTTCACATATTGCTACCATGTGGGGAATCGAGCCCGGGTCTTCGGCATGACGAGCGAACGCTTTACCCACTAGGTTAACCCAAAATAAAGTCCTTTGTTAATTTTGTTACAGTTAGTTAGTTCAGTATAATATTGGAGCTGGTTCATATTGACTGCCAGGAGGTACCTGTTTAATCAGGCTGAACTGATGCATCATACATTCGTCTATGGGATCTCGGACACCTGTGCATGCCTGGCGGCGAATGAAAGGTTTGAAGGCTTTATCAAACATCTCTGGTGTACTGATGACGATGAACGCCAAGGTGTCCTCTGGGTAGGGCAGGGCAAACACCTGCTGAACTTGTTCATTGTACCAGCCAATCTGAAAATGTATTTTACCATTGTCAGTTTGGCACCACAGGCCGCAGTACTACGTTCATGCATCAGCTGATCATGAGGTGAGACAGATGTCACTCCAATACACTATGCTTATGAGTAATTAACCAGTTATTGATCTTCGAGTCCACTGCAAGCATTTGTGTCCTCTTTATGATAATTATGTACCACAATTTTATGTCCACAAAAACATGTAAAATTTGCTCTTACTGTTGTATACCAAGCTCACTGGGGCTCCTAATGCTCCTACATGCTCCTACACTGGGGCTCCTAATGCTCCTACATGCTCCTACACTGGGGCTCCTAATGCTCCTACACTGGGGCCCCTAATGCTCCTACACTGGGGCTCCTAATGCTCATACACTGGGGCCCCTAATGCTCCTACACTGGGGCTCCTAATGCTCCTACACTGGGGCTCCTAATGCTCCTACACTGGGGCCCCTAATGCTCCTACATGCTCCTACACTAGGGATCCTAATGCTCCTACACTGGGGCTCCTAATGCTCCTACACTGGGGCTTCTAATGCTCCAATATGTTCCTACACTGGGGCTCCTAATGCTCCTACATGCTCCTACACTGGGGCTCCTAATGCTCCTACATGCTCCTACACTGGGGCTTCCAATGCACACATCAGTAGCCAGATATGGTGTGATATGTCACTGTTACAAGACTACATGAAAGGCAATAGGACTGTAACACTGGGTGACCACATCACTGTTACAAGACTACATGAAAGACAATAGGACTGTAACACTAGGTGGCCACATCACTGTTACATGACTACATGAAAGACAATAGGACTGTAACACTAGGTGACCACATCACTGCCGTGCACTGCATTCCGTGACGTACAATAATACCGGTGTGTTTACTACTGGTTGATGTGAATTACTGACCAGCAGCTGTCGATAGCATTAGCAGAGCAGTGCGAGGTCGTACATTGATGATTGAAACTGTTGTTGACAAAAACACCCTGTTAGTTCAAGAACTCATCTATCCGAGGAAGTCAGTTACGGAACTTGCAAATGAATTATAACCAACCACACGGTCTTAATCACATTACCTGTCTGCGACAGAAAATACTAAATACACCAGATACGTTGTCTGTCACTCTGTCGGTCTGTGATCAAACCAACTCAAAGACAAAATTTAACTTGTCTTATTTGATATGCCTCTTTGTTGTGAAAGCGGTATGCTGTTTTGTCTGTGGTCTATTAAACTTACCTTAAAAGGGTAAACTTCGAATCCCACCTTAGACAAAATACTGGTCACTGTAGAGGTTACATGAGAAGGGCACATTTGGTTTTCCGTCATGTTGACAAACACATGTCAAGGGCAAGTAACTCTAATATTTCACATGTTTCTGCATATTATCTTCCCCTTTTGAGCACTGCGCGGGATATTTAAAATAGTGAGTGCGTTTAGTTTTACGTCGCACTCCAGCTATATGGCGACGGTCTGTAAATAATCGAGTCCGGACCAGACATCCCAGTGACCAACAGCATGGGCATCGATTTGTGTCAGACAAGTCAGCGTGCCTGACCACTCGATCCTGCTTTCGATAAGCATGGGTTACTGAACTTCTGAAGATCAATTCCAACCCGGATCTTCACGGGTCGATATTTAAAACAAGCTACGTAAGGAAATATGTTGGACAGATTGTCGTAATATAATATTGTATTTTAGTAAAAGGGCTGTATATGTAGATTAGGTATGTGGATGAATGTATAAATATATAGATAAGTATACTGTATTTCTAAGTCAAGTAAACTAATAGAATGGAATAAGTAGACAATCATGTTACTAATACATAAATAGATAGCTGAAATGCTTAATATATCAGCGGTCGATATGCGCAGATTTAAATCAACATTGTAGACGTAATACACACAGCATTGTTACAGGGTATGACACTCGCAAAACTTTCAGCCAGACCACAGGGCTGGATTATAGATGTAAAACTTACCAGCCCTCACCAAAACTTACCTGCTCACAAAAAAACCATACTGATTCACTTAGTATAATTAAATTAAAACTTGTAAAATATTGGGAAAAAAATAATACAAACTTCATATACAATGTACATGTCTAAATTTTAACCCGACTGTCCGGCAAGTGAATTTGAGATTTTGTTGACGTAATACAGAGAGCATTGTTACCGTAAAAGTGACTGTATTGTTGACGTAATACAGACTGCATTGTTACCGTAAAAGTGACTGTATTGTTGACGTAATACAGACAGCATTGTTACCGTAAAAGTGACTGTATTGTTGACGGAATACAGACTGCATTGTTACCGTAAAAGTGACTGTACTGTTGACGTAATACAGAGAGCATTGTAACCGTAAAAGGGACTGTATTGTTGACGTAATACAGACAGCATTGTTACCGTAAAAGGGACTGTATTGTTGACGTAATACAGAGAGCATTGTTACCGTAAAAGGGACTGTATTGTTGACGTAATACAGACAGAATTGTTACCGTAAAAGGGACTGTATTGTTGACGTAATACAGAGAGCATTGTTACCGTATAAAAGTGACTTTATTGTTGACGTAATACAGACAGCATTGTTACCGTAAAACTGTTCGTATTGTTAACGTAATACAGACAGCATTGTTACCGTAAAAGGGACTGTATTGTTGACGTAATACAGAGAGCATTGTTACCGTAAAAGGGACTGTATTGTTGACGTAATACAGACAGCATTGTTACCGTAAAGTAACTGTATTGTTGACGTAATACAGACAGCATTGTTACCGTAAAACTGACTGTATTGTTGACGTAATACAGACAGCATTGTTACTGTAAAAGTGACTGTATTGTTGACGTAATACAGACAGCATTGTTACCGTAAAAGTGACTGTACTTATGACGTAATACAGACAGCATTGTTACCGTAAAAGTGACTGTACTGTTGACGTAATACAGACAGCATTGTTACCGTAAAAGGGACTGTATTGTTGACGTAATACAGACAGCATTGTTACCGTAAAAGGGACTGTATTGTTGACGTAATACAGACAGCATTGTTACCGTAAAAGGGACTGTATTGTTGGCGTCATACATACAACATTGTAAACGTATTTCAGATACCATTGTTGACGTCACATATGCAGCATTGATGATGTAATACTGACACAATTTTGACGAAACACAGGATTGTTGACGTAATTCAGAAAGCATTGTAGATATCACTGCAGACGTATTGCAGATGTCATTGTTGACGTAACAGAGACACCATGGTCCTTGTCGACACCTTTTCTAGCTGCGAGGTACAATATATGTCCCTCCGTTTCTCTCTCACTTTGATGTCGAAACCATATCCAAATACATAACGAAGATAAATGCACTTCGCAATTTTGAATTATTTAAAATTCACTTTTCTATATCATCGACCCATTGTTGGTATACTGAAAATAACTTTCATCGTAAATATCGCCTGTTTTGACACATTGCTAAATCAACATTCATGGCGTTTTGCATAATGTAGAGTAGATTCTATGTCTGAAATTTAAATGTCGAATTTAACTGGAAGAATTGAATTTAGGAAAAAAAACGTTACATTGTAATCACTGGTATTTTTGTTGTTGTTTGGTCGAATCACCAAAGGTCATTCTGAAATATCGTCGATGAACTGAGAAACGCTGAGAATGTGTTGGAACAGGGGTGCGCACCCTTACACACACATACACACACACACACACACACACACACACACCTTTGTCCTGTAAGTTTATTAGATGACCCGTGAAAATGAAGTGTGCACCCCCACACAAGTGTGCAGCCTTCTCTCCCCCCGTTCTCTCTCGTTCAGCAAGATCAATGAAATCAGAATGTTTGAGAATATTGTCAGTCAAGTAGATCAATGAGGAAGTTACTCATGACTAGGAAATATATATATTTTTAAAAGATTTTCCTGTTCAGAATACCTATCAAAATGAAGGTGGAATCCATAAAAAAAACTGGTAATAAAATATCATTCTATGATATGTCATCTTAGGCATCTATATTCACTGCATGTAGTGATGCGTTCATGACTGGCACGGATTAGGATCTTTGTTTATTTATTCATTTTCAAAAACACCTGCCCGTGAGTCTAACCAAAGTGTTAAAGACAACTCCGACATGAATCGATTCGACATTTTCATCCACATGACACGCAGGTTATATAACTGAAATACTATTCAAAGCTGCACTAACCAACTCATTCACTTTCAAGGTTCGAAATCCAAGTACGATGTATTCATTAAACTGGGACGTACTAAACAATAAGGGATATTTACAATTCCCGACATAGCCATCATGATCATAATATAAGAACAGATTTTTGTTTAACAGTGGACCAATATGTATAGAGGTGAAAATATACTGCTTTGAAACTGATTCAAGTGTCCCTTAATGTTTCCAGAGAATACTGATTAAATGTCATCACAAACAGAGACTACATTTTCGTCATACGATCATCATGTATATACGTGACGTCACCGCGTCGTATTATGCTATAAATAGTTATATACTGACGAGTAAACTGCGTAAATTATGTGTTTAAGTTGAATAATGGTTTGTAATGCAGTTTTATGGGTGATAAATACTTACGTCTATATAAAACAAATGGTTTAATTGGACGAAATACAGAACATATAACATACAAGTTCGTAATGTAACTGAGAGCGAAAATATTCCAATGAGCTTTGATGTCCGTGTAAATGTGGGACTGTCAATGTTTTTATCTCCATAGTCATTTGGGACTGAGATTTATATCGATTATGAACGTTAGTATTCAGAAAGAGTTTAAAGTAGAGATTATTTTGGTCAAATATCAGCATCACATATAAATACTGACACTGAGAAATACAATCGTGCACGAATGTGTATCGAGTATATACGAATATATTCCCCTATGTTTATAGAGATGGTGCTTATAACTGCACATAATTCCGATATGAGCACTTTTGACAAACCGATATGTTAATTTGGTAATGAATTATATTTAATCGACGATATATTACTTTTTGTAAAGAAAATATGCGTTGACACAAGAGGTAATTCGTATAAACGAGTTGTTTTCAACGTGGCAAGTTACTCTCTCATCATCAACATTTTCCGTTGACCTTGTGCCATATTATATGCTACGGTTGTCCCATATATACTCACTTTTGTTTTCAAATGATATATATATTGATAAAAAATCACAGAAATTCACTAATGAGCTTTTATTTGGAGAATTTGACGATAATTGTAAATCTCCGAAGCAAGAAAATGGCGGACGATAAGCAATATCTGTGCTAGTAAAGCCATCTCCAAAAGGCGATTACTACGTAACAGAGGAATGACAAATGTTAGTTTTAGTTTAATCATTGAGAGGGTCCATTTCTGATACCATATTTTGTCGTTTATTTCAATATACTGCAGGGAAATTGGTCACACAACGATTAAAACGAGTACACCTATCGTATTGCCAACACTTATCTGCGTGTTTAAATTGTAAGAACTAATTGATCGATGAAGGGAAAAGCATATTGTTATTCACAAAGATATTTTATTATGTCCTCTTGTATGTGGTTCCATTTTGGTTTACGATACAAATACCAGTATCTGTGGAAACTGCGGCCAAAGAGAGTATACAAACACAACTGTCGGCAACTGAAATGAGACCAGCTGAAACGCACTGACTTCTATTGGTTGTTCTCTCCGACGTCCGCGCGTTAGGCATAAAGCCTGTGTGGCGTTTGCGGGCTTCATTTGCACTTCTACAGCCGGTACACAACTACGTGTTAGTAATCGCACAGTAAGAACATCACCATGACTGACGCAGCACCAGCTCCGCCAAGAAGGCAGCAAAGAAGTCTGCCCCGAAGAAGCCTTCCTCTCACCCTAAATACAGTGAGATGATCAAGAACGCTATAACCGGTCTGAAGGAAAGGGGTGGCTCTTCACGACAGGCTGTGTTGAAGTATATCATGAAGAACTTCAAAGTTGGTCCCGATGAGAGGACTGTCAACAATCACTTGAAACTTGCTCTCCGTGCCGGAGTCAAGAATGGCAATCTGAAACGCAATCTAAGGGAACTGGAGCCTCCGGTTCTTTCAGGCTTGGTGATAAATCCGAAAGGCAAAGAAACCCAAGGCAAAGAAAACAACCAAGGCATCTAAACCCAAGGCTGACAAACCAAAGAGGGCAGCAAAGAAATCTTCTCCCAAGAAGGCCAAGAGCCCAAGGCAGCAGCTAAGAAATCTCCAGCCAAGAAGGCACCCAAGCCCAAGAAAGCTGCTGCTAAGAAATCTCCAGCAAAGAAGGCAGCTAAACCCAAAGCAAAGAAATCTCCCAAGAAGAAAGCAGCGGCC